TACAGCATGTGCTCTGCCACTGAAGTTTGATCTTTCCCCAGCACAACACACACCCAAGAAAATCCACAGATGCTGATTATTGATTATTGGCCAGTGAACTTCATTTAGGTGGTGTGCAACATGTTTCCTGATTTGCGGTTGAAGGCAGGTTGATGGCACATTAAATATGTCTATTGGTTTTTAACTGCGTTTTTATTGCTTCTTTTATTTCTTACATTGTATTGCAATTTGAATTCTACAATGAAATGCAAGAAATAATAAAAGAAGCAGTAAAAATGCCATTAAAAATCATGCGGCAACTAGCACAGTGCATTATAGTGGCTACAGCAGGCAGAAGAATCGCTAAGTGGTCTAGCAAGACCCTTAGCGATCTTCAAGTGGTCCTGATGGGGGGAGTTTGGAAACCACTTGCCTAGAAGCAACTTCCACTTAAGCTGGTTCATAAAGATTTTATAGCAGGTTTTTCACAGGTGAAAGTTATGGTGCTACGGGCAGAGTTCAGAAACTATTAACCACGCTTTCTGTCCTTGCTGAGCCTGATAATTAAAGGGCATTTGTTTCCACTTGCCTTCATCCAAATCCAGTTATAAAACAGTATCAATCCTTTGCCTTCTTATGAAGTGGGTTAGATTACCCGTGTAGAAAAAAATTGTCTCAAGAAAGGAGTAATGTTTCCCTTCCCTCTGTGTTGAAACTGTACCTAAGGGGAAACGAAGGCCTTGCGAAAGTGGGTGTCGCTGAAGGGCCATCAAATTTCTATAAACCGATCTTAGGGAAACTAGCAGGAATTTGCAGTGTTTGTCGACCTTCCTTTGTCAGCCCGTGTGGTGTAATGATTAGAGTGTTGGGAAACCTAGGTTTGAATCCCCACACAGCTATGAAGATCACCAGGTAATGTTGGGCCATACATACCTCTCTCAGCCTAACCTACCTCACCCAGTTGTTGCGAGGATGAAATGGGGAGCAGGAGAACCATGTATGCCACCTTGAGCTCCTTGAGAAGAAAATGTGGCAGGTATATCAATGTGAAACTGAATCAGAGAATTGTAGGGTTGGAAGGGACCCCGAGGGTCATCTAGTCCAACCCTCTGCAATGCTTGAACCCTGAGATTAAGTTCTTCATGCTCTTCCAACTGAGCTACCCAGCAATAAACCTCCACGCTGTTAAGGAACTTCAGCACACTGCTGCTGTTCCAGTTTCCGGGCTGATAAAGCAGTCACATGCCCAAAGTCCAAACTGTTACAACCTTTCTTTAACCCCTCTCTCCCCGAGCTGGGTCTCTGGAACAACTGCACGAAAGGCAAAAAATTCAGCGGTGCATCTTTTTCCTAACATGGGGGTGCAATGGTGGGGATTGCATAAGCAATTCCCATCTGATCCCAGGCATATGCTGATTGTTAAGCCCAGACACTGAGGTCCAGCTCTGAGGGGCTTCTGGCGGTTCCGTCCCTGTGTGATAGGAATTTTGAGGTCTAAGATATATGGTAATGTTGATAAGCGTACCAACCAAGCACGTACATAGATCAGCACAGGAAGACCAACCTGGAACCATTTTGATTCCTAAACTGACCAAATGTTTTCTCTGCAAGGTCAAAGTGGGAAACCTCCCATTGTCTCTTTCCTCACAAATCCTGTCTTAAGGGCACATTTAAGATATGAATAGGGTGTGAGCCTGTGACCTGGCCCAGGAACTAAGTATTTATCATTGCAAAAGACTGGCCAGGCTCCCCAGACAATCCAATCAAGTAACCTGCCAGATAGGAGATAAACAATGACAGGAGAAAAACAACATTCAGATTTCTATTTTAGACCGCCTTTTCTGTGATGTAGGTGCGATGTATCTGAGGGGTGGTCTTAGGTTACGCCCCTTCTTTGATGTATGTATGATGTTTCTGGGGGTGGTCTTGATCTACAGGGTGTCAATTTCAAAAGTCTTTATAAGGCCTTGCGTGCCATTGTTCTGGGTTCCTCCTCCTCTCCTGCGGGTGAGGGGAGCACCCTGTTGCAACAGATCAATAAAGATCAAGCTTACTAGCTTCTTTGCTTCTCAATATTCTCTGGTTGGCCTCTGTTATTTTCTCCTACCAATAGGGAACCTATGTAAGGACTCTATATGGGTTCTTGGATACCCCATAAAGGAAAAGGGCAATTTTTGTTTACAACACCTGCAAGAAGTGAGGTTACAGGGCACCAGGCAGAGGGCCTTCTCGGTGGTGGCGCCCGCCCTGTGGAACGCCCTCCCATCAAATGTCAAGGAAATAAACAACTATCTGACTTTTAGAGGACATCTGAAGGCAGCCCTGTTTAGGGAAGTTTTTAATGTTTGAAGTTTTATTCTGTTCTTAGTGTTCTGTTGGGAGCCGCCCAGAGCGGCTGGGGAAACCTAGCCAGATGGATGGGGTATAAATAATAAAATTATTACAATTATTATTATTACAATTATTATTATTATCATCATCATCATCATTCGCATTTCAGATATGAGATGGAATGCCCTCTGCAAGCATATTTGCCTTCTATAATCCTTGAAGGCCTAGTTCTTCCAAGATTCTGGTGGGATGCAATTGCGGAACAGTCCAAATAGTTTACCTGCTCCTCATGTTGATCAATCCTAGAGTTGGAAGGGATCTTAAATGTAACCTTGTCCAGCCTTTGAAGGAAATATTTTGATTCTGGCCCTGCTCATATGTCCCTCCAGACATTGCCTACCCTCAGGGTGAAAAGGGTTCCACACTCCTATTCTGCACCTATTAAGGGGTGAAAGATCCCTGGCCCTTTTAAAAGAAAAATCTGGCCAATCTGTTTCCAGCCCCACTCGAAGAAGCAAGGAATTGATTTGGGGCGGCGGCAGGGCAGTTCTGTGAAAAACATGTGATTTACCACTGAGCTATATAGTCTTTTCCTCAAGGACAATAGCCTAAGGCGCAATTTCACATACTCCAGCTGCTGAGGTATATGTTTTGAACCGCTGTTGATGCCTTATTGTTTTCCCAGTGCAACTTAAAACCCCAAGGAACATCACCCTCTCGTCTTTTGAAGTGAGCAGAGAACGAATGAATCCAAACACGCACACAAACCCAATAAAAACCACTTTTTAAAAACACACACGGATGAATCCAACAGCAGGTGGATTGAAAAAGAAACTCTTCAGTAACACGTAATTTTTAATTTTTTTAAAAAATGTGTTTCCTCCCCAATATTGGTTTTTCAATAAAAAGGGGTTTAACAGGAAAACAGAACTAGAGTCCAGTCTGCAGATTACAACGGCAATGGTACAGCTTAATTTGGTACAATAATGCATCCATGGTTGTGCATAAGCAAATCACAAATTCACAAATCCTCTCCAGAAACCTTCTTGTGCCTCAGGTGCAACAAGGATCGTTTTGCCTCTTTTTATATATGAAATAAATGGAAACCACGAATTTCATCGAATGTGCCTTTCTCTGTGAGTCTTTATATTACCTTCTGCATCTCGTGAGTCGCCCTGATGGTACTCATTCCAATATAGGGAAATGTTTTGCTTTGTTTTTTAAAAAACTGCTGCAAGCTGCCCTGAGAACCAGTTTTGCAGTGGAAAGGTGGGGTGTGAATAATAATAATAATAATAATAATAATAATAAATAGTGGAGGTGATGAAAGTTCTTAATGTTTGATGTTTTTTCGTATTTTTAATATTCTGTTGGGAGCCACCCAGAGTGGCTGGAGAAACCCAGCCAGATGGACATGGTATAAATAATAAATTATTCTTATTCTTATTATTCGTACAGTATTCTTAATATTTTTTTTTTTAAAAATGTAGTTGGAAGGGTCCCTTGAGGGTCATCTAGTCCAGACATCTCAACACGTGGCCCTTGGGTGAGAGCCAGGGCCAGACTGAGGTTTGATGAGGCCCTAAGCTACTGAAGGCCCTTTGTATGTCCAGCTGTCCTTTGTCAACAACAAATTGTCGCTGAATATATGCTATATGGTAATTTATAGACCTAAAAGGTATCTAAAACCATTTGCACATATTGCCATGCAACCAGTCCATGCAGAATATAGGCACCCTATATACAGAAATCAGCAAATCAGTGATATTTTAGGGAGCAAGCTAGCAGGCGGGGCCCATGACTTACATCCTAGGAGCCGACACAATACAAAACACTGTTGCTGTATATAGGTTTTATTTTATTGTTTTTTATTTTATATTTTGGAAATGTACATCCAGGTTTTTTTCCTTTAATTTTTTTTTGGGAGACCCCAAGAGAGCGGGGCCCTAAGCCATAGCTTGTTTAGCTTATACTGAGGTCCAGCTCCGAGGGCCTTCTGGCGGTTCTCTCACTGCGAGAAGCCAAGTTACAGGGAACCAGGCAGAGGGCCTTCTCGGTAGTGGCACCCGCCCTGTGGAATGCCCTCCCACCAGATGTCAAAGAGAACAACTACCAGACTTTTAGAAGACATCTGAAGGCAGCCCTGCTTAGGGAAGCTTTTAATGTTTAATAGGTTATTGTATTTTAATACAGTGGTACCTCGGGTTACAGACGCTTCAGGTTACAGACGCTTCAGGTTACAGACTCCACTAACCCAGAAATAGTACCTCGGGTTAAGAACTTTGCTTCAGGATGAGAACAGAAATCGTGCTCTGGCGGCGCAGCGGCAGCGGGAGGCCCCATTAGCTAAAGCGGTACCTCAGGTTAAGAACAGTTTCAGGTTAAGAACAGACCTCCAGAACGAATTAAGTACTTAACCCGAGGTACCACTGTATTCTGTTGGAAGCCGCCCAGAGTGGCTGGGGAAACCCAGATGGAAGGGGTATAAATAAATTATTATTATTATTATTATTATTATTATGTGTAATCTGGCACTGCTTGGTTGAGAGCATTTAGGAGAGGATAGAGTTAAGCATAAAGCCTTGATTTCATCATCTGTTACATGAGGATGAACTCTGATCCTGTTAACAGAGACAACCCCTCTGATCTGAGAAGGCAAAAAAAGAGAGAGAGCTTTCTTGGCGTTCTTCCTCTGTTCCCGGGAGCAGCTCGGCATTCCGGCCAGGAGAAGGCGGTGGCGACACGCGTCTGCCCGCTCAGCCAGTACGATAGAGACGGAGGAGAAAACACCATAGACGCGCATATGCAAAGAAGGGGGAAAAAGAGCATTCAAACTTAAGCAAGGCGCTCGGGAGTGGAAGTCTTTCCGTCCGCCGCTCGGATCAGGAAATAGCCTTGCGAGGGTTCCCCTTTGCGAAGGGCGGTAAGTCACTTTGCACGACCCACGTGTGCGGGGGGGGGGGGGACCAGAGCTGTCAACCTTTCCCTTTCTAAAAGGGAAATTCCCTTATTCCGAATAGGATTCCTCGCAAGAAAAGTTGACAGCTATGAGGGGGACCTGACTGAAGCTGGACTCGCTTTCCCGGGAGTTAAACCCACACCCCACACCCCAATTCAGTGGGACTTTAACTTCTCGGTAGACTCTCCCGGCTGAGTTCACTTTGCCCGTCGGAAACAGCAGAGGTTTCACGGGAGGTTTTTAAGCATCTGTCACGGGTGCTGTAGTTGAGATGCATGCATTGCAGGGGGCTGGACTAGATGACCGCCAGGGTCCCCCCTCCAACTGTACCCTTCTATTAATTTCTGATTGTGAGCGTGAATGGCCACACAGTGATCACCGCCCGTACTTTTCCGCGCTACATTTCCTCCCTGCCTCCCTGTTTACAACCCAGCAACGCTCAAAAACCCACACCTGCAACTGGGGATGACGTTGCATGCATCTGATGGAGGGCGATTTAGTCCAAGCATGCCTATACAGTATAAATTTGTTCAACTTTAAAGGTGCCACGAGGGTCTTCGCTGGATATCGCCCGGGTTGTTCCTGTCTGAGACGTTTCTTTTGAGATCAGAGGTAGGGAAATTCCCCTATCAGCTTTATAGAAAGTGCGATTTTAAGGAAAGGCTTACTATTGCAAAATAATAATTCGCAGCTTTGAAAATGTTTAACCCATGTTCGGCGTGCGCAGAAGGAAAAACACGTACCTTGGGATGTGCAAGCACAGGCATTAAATTTGTTGTGCAAGAGGGTACAGTGTGAGATCTACAGCTGCAATCAGCACAAAGTTTGAGGTTTTGCAATAACTCCTGTGTCCGTAGGTACAAAGCAGAGGTTTAATGCACCGTGCCAAGGAAATGGAGGGGCGGGGGAGGGAGGCAAAGTAAGTACACTTGGCTTCATAAAGAGGACAGATCGCCCCAGCCCCCAGGAACTATTAATTCACAACAGCTTAAAATAGGGTTTGCAGAAAGTAGATTGTGATCTACTGGCAGATCTTTGATTTGCAATAGATCAGCAAGGATTCTGACTGCCAATTGTTTAATAGCTGCAACAGCAAAAATCTCCCCCCCCCCCCAAAAAAAAAGGTTGATGAAATGAAGGTTGTGGACCAGTAATCATTTTTTGTGTGTGAGAGGACTGGAAAATCAGTTCCAGTTCTGAAAACAAATTCCTGGGCTGAACATATGCTCAGAGGCACCGTGGTACTCAAGTCTCTCTCTCCTTGCCACTGTTTTGCACCTGGTACCAGTTGTTTGATCTTTGAGTTCTGTTATTCTCCAGCAGATGGTATTGAGAGGCATGGAGGCCTATGATCCCAGTGGTGGCATATTTAATAATAAGAATATTATTATTATTATTATTATTATTATTATTATCAACAACAACAACAATTTTATTATTTATACCCTGCCCACCTTGCTGGGTTTCCCCAACCACTCTGTGCAGCTCCCAACAGAATATTAAAACACGATAAACTTCATAACTACCAGCTACTAGTACCCATGAATTTTTCCAGTCCCCTTTCAAACCTAGTGGCCAATAGCTCATTGGTGATTTCTGCAGTTGGGCACACGTTCAAGGGATCTCAGTGTTTCAGCCAATGATTATAAACAGGGGTCAGCAAACTTTTTCAGCAGGGGGCTAGTCCACTGTCCCTCAGACCTGGGGGGGGCCGGACTGTATTTTTTTTGGGGGGGGGGGAATGAATGAATTCCTATGCCCCACAAATACCCGAGATGCATTTTAAATAAAAGCACACATTCTACTCATATAAAAACACCAGGCAGGCCCCACAAATACCCTAGAGATGTATTTTAAATAAAAGGACACATTCTACTTATGTAAAAACACACCGATTCCCGGACCATCCGCAGGCCAGATTGAGAAGGCGATTGGGCCGGATCCAACCCCCCGGGCCTTAGTTTGCCTACCCATGATTATAATTATGAGCAGGCTCTTCCCAGATTAGCATATTCTCAAGGTGGTGCCAATTGATTTAAAGGTGTGCTCACAGAGCGCAATCCTGTGCACATTTACTCAGAAGTAAAGTGCACATGGGGCTGTGTTGATAGCCATTCAAGGGCCATCTTAAAGAAGCATCAGTTCTGCAGACAAGAATATAAAACCCCACAACTTCATTATAAGACTTCTGCAAATGCTCAGTAACTAATTTCCTCTGTCTCGTCAGCATTCCACCAACGTTTAGAATGGCATCGTGGAATGCAAATAAAAACATCCAGAATTCCACTAGACAAATTGTGAACCCTGACCTTGACATTGAAAGAAAAACGGCCTCCTTCAGTGTTGAACGACTGACCAATATACTGGATGGAGGTGCTGAAAAGACACAGATGCGGAGGACAGTGGGTAAGTCGTCCACATGGAAATAAGTACCGGTATTTGTGTTATTTTGAACGTTGATGATACGCTATTTTAAATGCTTCCCCAACTATGCAACGTTTGCCTTTTGGTGTATCCTCCTTCGCAGCACTTAAAAACAATTTTTGGAGCTGGATAATTTTGTTTGCAACAAAAGGCGTAGCCAAACCAATTGTATTTTTTGCAGTCTTCAGAAACTGGACTGGTGAGACGATTGATTTTAAAGAGGCTCTTCCAGAATGACTTGTTCATCGCACATTCATCCTGATTAAGTTTGTGCAAAAGCTATAACAGTGGTTGTGCAAGAACCTTGAACCTGGTCCAGTAATGTATGAACAGCTAGCACAAGCTTTTAAGCGCTGGAATTAACATGCTGGCAGTAGTCTGTCCCCCATCAACTTGTATGCATTAAATGATGGTGGATTTCATACAAGTTGTCAGCAGGCTGGACTAAGATGGCCTCTTTTGGGTCACCCCCGACTCAGTGATTCGGTGAAAAAGAACCTTAGGCTAATGTGAATGGCCTGGAGGTTTCTACTGCGTTGTAAAATGCTATAGATCAGGCTTCCTCACCCTCGGGCCCTCCAGATGTTTTGAGACTACAATTCCCATCATCCCTGACCACTGGTCCTGCTAGCTAGGGATCATGGGAGTTGTAGGCCAAAAACATCTGGAGGGCCGAGGTTGAGGAAGCCTGCTATAGATGCTTCACTGCCAGAACTGCATTTTCTTCTGTAAATCTCGTGGTGAACATCGGTGTAATTGCAACTTGGTTTTCCTGTGTGTGATTCCTGTGCCTCGGCCTGCTTAAAGGATCGTTGTGTACTCTGCAGAAACCATGATCCAGAGTGATCCGGTGTTCAGCCTAGAAAACCAGTACTTCATGAGCCAGAATGAAAGATACGAAGATGCTGTCAGGAAGTCCGTTCACCTCTCAAAGATGGCGGCCAAAATGGGATGGGCAACAGGCGGACCTGAACTGGCTTACTGCCACAGGTGATTTGAAAACAATAAAATGCTGCTAGAATTGTATTTTAGCTGTCTTTAAAAAGTGCCTGCTTTCACCTAAGCTAGGTGAGGCGGCCTGCTGCAGCCAAGGGAAATCTCTGGCTTCCGGGAGAGTGTGCGAATATGTGGCAGACAGAATTGCCTGTTGTGGATCCTATAACTTTTCAGAGTTGAGAGGACTCCACCTCTGATTTGAAAATTTACCTATAGTTTTATTATTTTTGTAAGCTGCTGCGAGGTTTCGTTCGGTTACAATCAAGCAACGTGTCAATGTTTCTAAATACACAAAGGAGCAGTTATGACCATATTGCCTCATTCTGGGCAGCCGTAGAATGTGAAAGGGTTTGGATTCAGGTTCAAAAAGCACAGGGGGAAAGGAGATGTATGGGGGAGAGCTTGAGCACAGTAGTTCAGGCACCTGTGACTTCAACATCGGCATCGTGCGATGTAGGGATTCCTTTGCACTTGATCTGGAAACGGCAATTAGTGCAGAAAGTGAGCGAGAGTGAGACCCTGTCAACATGTCACCTGGCTGTTCAGAAAACGGCACTGGATGCTGATTGGTTACTGGGCCGGGTTCAAGGTGTTAGTATTAGCATATAAAGGCCATAGCAGCTTAGGATCAGCTTACTTGATGGGTCACCTTAACCCATATAAGCCCACTGGACCCCTTCATTCCTCAGAATGGGCACTGTTGCAGGTTCTATGCAATATTAGACCTATACTTGCAATAAGTCTATCTCCTGGCGTGGCTGCACCTGCACATTGGAACTCCCTGCCAGTTGAACATCAGGCAGCCTCCTTCACTGTATCCTTTTCGGTGTTTGCTAAGGACATTTTTGTTCAGGCAAGCCTATCTGGACACCTAAAAGCTGACATGTTCTTCAATCTATATTTAGCTTAATTATTGATTTTAAGTCTATTTAATTCTTTTTTTTTTTTTAAGAAAACACCTGCTTTTACTTCATTACCGTTTTGTTTTTCGTAAACCACTTAGAGGTTCTAGTTGCAATCAGGGTGGTGTATAAATTTAAGCACATGAACAGAAAGTAAGGTTGCAGCCTTAATTTTGCTTACTTGGAAGTACACCTTGTTGAATTAAATAGGGACTTACCGTACTTTTGAGTACACATGGTTAGCTAGGGATGGGAAACCCAAAGGACACCTTCCAGCCCTCCCTCTCTAACAACAACAACAACCACAACAACAACTTTATATGCCACTTTATATGAGTGGCTTCCGACAAACCATAAAACCACAGTAAAACATCAAACATTAAAAACCTCCCTTTACAGGGATGGCTTCAAGTGTCTTCTAAAAGTCAGATACAGTGGACGCTCAGGTTGCGAACGTGATCCATGCGGGAAGCACTTTCGCAACCCGCAGCGACGCATCTGCGCACGCATGGGTCACGATTTGGCGCTTCTGTGCATGCGCAAAGCGCGATTTAGCGCTTCTGTGCATGCGTGACCGCCGAAAGCCGGAAGTAACCCGTTCTGGTACTTCCGGGTTTCAGCAGTCTGTAAACACAACCTGAAACATCTGTTACGCAAGGTATGACTGTAGTTGCTTGTCTGTTTGGCAGCTGACAGGAGGGTGTTCCACAGGGCGGGGGACACCACTAACAAGAAGGCCCTCTGCTGGGTTCCCTGCAACCACACTTCTTGCAGTGAGGGAACCGCTCGGAGGTGGACCCTCAGTATCTGGGCTGAACGATGGGGATGGAGGTGCTCCTTCACGTATACAAGGCCAAAACTCCCCCCTTCCCTGCGCTTGGGATTTTCCCTAGCCCGCCCCCCTCACTGACTCTGCTCCATACCTTCTGTGGTTGCCAGGTTAGAACATGTCCTTGAACTATGCTAATACCTCTTAATTGCCTTTACTGGTTGTAAAGAGCTCAGACATCTGCATAATTGGCATGTAGCCTACTGCATACAGGTGAAAGTTCCATCCACTGCTCCACCCATTGTGTGTGTGTGTGTGTGTGTGTGTGTGTGTTGCTGGCAATGCTCACCACTGGCACCTAAACCTCAAGCTGAAAAAAGCCCCTGTCCCCTTTCTGTGCACACTTACTATAAGTCCCGTTTGCATTGGACGGCAGTGTAGAACTGTACTGTAGAAGCCAGTGAGGTCAAATATATATTGTTCCGTATTTGTGGGAGCCCCTTGGATTTATACTGCAGGAGGGAAAGGGCAGAAGCCGCTGTGGGAATGAGTTAGCGAGGGTTGTCAATGGCTTTTGTGAGCAAACGGAACGAACGAGTAATGTTAGGCCATGTTGACTGGCTATTTCAAAATGTGCTTTTCTAACTTGATCTAAAAAAGCTAGATAAAGAAATCTTACAGAGTCAACAAAAAATGTATAAATTATTAAATAATATACAAACAGATCAAGAAATTAAAAGTAAGAATATGTTAAGGTGGGAACAAGATTTAGGTTATGAAATTGAATACAAAGATTGGGTTACCAAGATTTTGGACCAAATGTGCTTTTCATCAGCCGTATCTACCAGGGAGCAGTACGGCACAAGGAGGAAGACGGGTGTCATGCCCCTGTTGTGAAGTTAAATGCCCCACTGAAATGTCACGTTCTCCATTGATGTAATTGCCCTGCGCTTTGCGATTTTGCATTTCTGCGCAGGGATCATACACTTAGGGACTAATGTCAAGGAGATGACAGGAATTGTATATCCTTTTGCAGGGCTCTTCACGCCAACCTGGCGTTCAACGTCCATGTGGTCTTTGTTAAGAGCCTTATGGGGTTGGCCACTGACGAACAGCTTGCCAAGTGGCTCCCTTTGGCAGAAAAATTTTACATCGTAGGGACCTATGCCCAGACCGAACTGGGTCACGGTAAGTTTCCCAGCTTATTGTGGCTCTTAGGGCCAGAATCCATCCAAATACCACAATGTCAAATTCCACTGTGCCAATGGGGCCCTAATGTAGCAATTGCTCCAGAGCAGTTGTGGGGAACTTTTGCTGTCAACCCCCCAGGTCTGAGTCCAGGCAGCTCCAGCTGGCATTTTACCTTGCAGCAGAGTGGGCAGCTGACCGCCCAGAGGACTCCGACCATTGGCAATTGTCTGGCAGTGCTTTAGGGGCTCTGGTCCCTGAAGGCCACAAGAAGAAGATGGCTGGTAGTCTAAAACTGTCAAGTTCAACACCTGAGTTTTGATTGCAGGGAAGAGCCCTATTTTTTGTTTTTTAAAAGACAGCTGGAGAATAGAGGTCATGGGGAAATGGGGTTAGCCACATTCAGGGCTTTGTTTCCCCAGCTGGAACTTGCCGGAACTCAGTTCCGGCAACCCTCAGTTGGGCGCAATTGCCATTATAAGAGAACAAGGAAGGCGTTCATGGTGATTTCTGGCACCTGTTTTTCTAGAAAAATACCACCGGCTGCGCTGACCATGAGTCAAGGAAGCCCCAAATTAAAAAATTGAGATGCCTGTGAGGGTGGATCTTGCTTACAAAAAAGGAGAAGTTGGACCCAGTCTTGAGAACAGCACGGCTGGGATTTGTGGGCCTGACTAGTGAATGTTTAATCTGCTGGTGGTCTTGCGATGCTCTGAGAAACCATGTTCTTTGTTATTAAAGGAACTTACCTTCGGGGACTGGAGACAACAGCCACCTTTGACGCTGCGACTCAGGAGTTTGTTCTCAACACGCCAAGCATATCTGCCATGAAGTGGTGGCCGGGAGATTGTAGGTAGCAAACACACTCAGGGGTGGGGCCTTTTCGTTCGTTCTGTGCTTTAGTTGTTTCCGAAATCTTTAAAGGGTGTGTTATAGCTGAGTGTTTTAAAAGTGTAAGTGGAACACTATGAATGAATCCACTTGGGAAACGTACAGAGGAAAACCCGCTTGACATTTGCTGCATTTCAGCAGCAAAACACTGGTTTTCCTGCGGTAAACGCTGGGACAGAAAACAAAACAAAAAACCATTGCTCAGGCACAGAACTTTAAATCCCGGATTTGTGTCTAGACATGCAGGAAGTCCAGATGAACCCAGAGTCCCTTCCCAAACCCCTGGTTACTTGTCTTCCCAATCTGCATTTTTAATTGCAGCTTTGAATATGGTCAATGCTGGAATATAAAGGTATCATAGTACCATTATACAGATCTATGGTGCAACCGCACTTGGAATACTGTGTATGATTCCAGTCACCCTACCTGAAAAAGGAGATTGTGAGCGTTAAAATCAAGATGTGAAAAATATGGAAACAACAAGGAGAGGCATGACTAAGATTTGGAGATACAGTGGTACCTCAGGTTACATACGCTTCAGGTTACATATGCTTCAGGTTACAGACTCCGCTAACCCAGAAATATTACCTCGGGTTAAGAACTTTGCTTCAGGATGAGAACAGAAATCATGCTCCAGTGGCGCAGCAGCAGCAGGAGGTCCCATTAGCTAAAGTGGTGCTTCAGGTTAAGAACAGTTTCAGGTTAAGAACGGACTTCCAGAATGAATTAAGTACTTAACCTGAGGTACCACTGTATGCTTCAAGGTCTAGATTATGGGAAGTCCCAAAAAAATAATAATTATAATTTGGAAGATAATTTGGTCTTTTTTGTTTTAGCTTTTTTACTTTAATCAGATTATGATTTGATATGTTAATTCGATGTTTTTTATTGGAAAATAATAAAAATGATTTAACAACAACAACAAAAAGGAGATTGTGTAGCTGGAAAGGGCAACCAAAATGATTGGGGGGATGGGAGCAGGTTTTCCTGTGAGGAAAAGTTGCAACATTTTTAGTTTAGAAAGAAATCAAATAGCAGGGGGAAGCCTAGCTGTGCGTAACATTATGTATAATGTGGAGAAAGCAGATAAGAGAAAAGTTTTCTCTTTAAGAGAGGTTTAGAGAAATTCATGGAGAATAAGACTCTCAGTGGTTCCTAGCTACATAGGCTATGTTCTCATGTCACTGTAGCTGGGAATCGCAGGTGAGGAGAATTGCTCTTGAGCTCACAGGCCTTTGGCCTCATCCAATAATAATATTATATATAGCCCACCCATCCTGCTGGGCCTCCCCAGCTACTCTGGACGGTTTCCAACAGAACATTAAAAGCATAACAAAACATCAAACGTTAAAAACGTCCCTAAACAGGGATTCCTTCAGATGTCTTCTAAAAGTCAGATAGTTGTTGATCTCCTTGACAACTGATGGGAGGGTGTTCCACAGGGCAGGTGCCACCACCGAGAAGGCCCTCTGCCTGGTTCCCCATAACCTCGCTTCTCACAGTGAGGGAAGCTCCAGAAGGCCCTCGGAGCTGGACCTCTGTGTCCGGGCTGAATGATGGGGGTGGAGACGCTCCTTCAGGTATACAGGGCCAAGGCTGTTTAGGGCTTTAAAGGTCAGCACCAACACTTTGAACAGGGCTGTTCTTATGTTCTGAAAATGCTGCTTAACTTTTCGAAGAATTGGTGACTTATTTTTCTCACCCTCCATTCACCCTTACAGTAGGACGAACGGCGACTCACGCTGTGGTCTTTGCTCAGCTTTACCTGAAAGGAAAGTCGTATGGCATGCATCCCTTCATGGTGCAGATCCGCAGCCTCCGAGATCATTCTCTGGAACCAGGTGACTTACTCCAGAGGGTCCCGAGACAATTCTACTGGGTGGTGTTTTTTTATCTGTTTCAAGCCCGCCAATGCTGGGCTTCGACCGTCAGAAACAGGGGTGCCTTGAAATCAGTGGTGCCATCAGGGCAGGCTTGGGAGATAGAAACATAGAACTGGGGAGTTGAAAGGGATCCTAAGGTTCAATCTAGTTCAACTCCTTACAATTGCAATCTTGGGCCCCTCTCATCAGAATGAGCAAAGGGGCCTCTAAATGCAAAAATAAATCTGGCTTCCAACATTATTTTTAAGCTCAGAAAAATGCTTTCATGTTGTCATATTCATCACTTTTGGGGCTGTGCCATAATAATAATAATAATAATAATAATAATAATAGTAATAATAATGGAGAGAAGAATAGCAGAGTTCATCAGACACCATTACATACAGAAATACATTAGCCAATCTATTAAAGTATTAAAATATTATTGACAGGTGCAAAAAATGAGGGGGTGCAAAGGAGGTGGACAGAATAAGGAATAACATTTAGGGGGAAAGGGTGTCCGGCTTACCACCATTTGAAGATAATGTCTGTAGTCCTATACATGCTTACTTGGGAGTAAAGCCCCATTTGTCTCAATGGGGTATTCTGCTGAGTAGCCATGCATAGACTTGCACTGTAAGTGAAGTAGTACATACTGCCGTCTAATTTGGGGGGATTAATAAAAAAGAGTTCATAGATTTTTCAGTGCTTTCTGTTGGGCAGAAGAAACGTGTGCTTTCAGTGGTGGGCATAAGACCATTATGTCCAGAGTCTATTGTTACCTAACCACATCACTGTGCAGAATGCTGGGTTATGTATCCTGATTTCCAAAAGAGACTTCAGTCTGCACAATCTTTTAAACCTATGTGTCTGTCTGAATCCTTGCTTGTTTTGCTCCGTAGGAGTAACGGCAGGGGATATTGGTCCCAAAATGAGCTTTGAAAATGTTGACAATGGCTTTCTCTTGCTGAAGAATGTTCGGATTCCGAGGGAAAACATGCTGGCCAAATTCTCTCAGGTAAACTTAGCTGTGGATATCAAACAGGTTTCATCAGTTGCACCATAGCAAAGGCCTCTAGTTATTCTCTCATGTGTGGAATTCCATATGGAATCTATCAGGTGGTAAAGACAGAATGTCAAGAATCTCCATGAACTTTCATTCTCTTATTTCATTTTTTTCAAGAGAATAGAAATGGTGATTGAGGAATATTTGAAAACAGTGCTTTTTCAGGGTTGTTGTTGTTTTTTAAAAAAAATGAGGGGCCAGTATTTTGATAAAAGTGCTGTGGGCGATAGCACAAAATGGCTGCCATGGGCAGCAAAAAAAGAGGTGACAGAGAAACCAGTGACAGGAAGGGGAAAAAACCACTGTCTGAAAGACATTTGCAGAGTCTGTAAATGCTTCAGAGTTCTGAGTCCTGGACTTAAATTTTGCTTCTGCTAACACACACCTCCTTTTTTTATTTATTTCCAGGTCCTGCCAGATGGTCGGTATATGAAAAAAGGATCTGCGCAAATTAACTACCTTACTATGATTGTGGTCCGTGTCCTCATGCTTCAGAATGAAGTTGTCCCCAATCTGATGAAGGCATGCACCATCGCGATCCGATATTCCGCAGTGCGCCGGCAGTCTGAGTTAAAGCCCGGGTATGGCGGGAATTGAGGGCTTGGCTCCAGGCAGGGATACGTTAAATGTCCTGCTCCTCTGTTGACTATTTTTATTATTGCTTTCCTCTTTTCACACCAACTGTCGGTGTTCCGGCCCCTAATCCCCACCCCTTGTTTTCTTGATACAGCTACTTAAACTATTAAGCAAGCAGATGAATTTGCAAATGTAGAAGAGGCAGTGAAGCTGATGGAGCCAGGAGTGGGGTGGGGACCGGAAAAAGGGGGGTTGGGAAACTAGTGTGAGGGACCGGGTGCCCCAAGGGTCCTGAAAGACCTACATTGGCTCCCAGTACGTTTCCGAGCACAATTCAAAGCGTTGGTGCTGACCTTTAAAGCCTGAAACGGCCTCGGCCTAGTATATCTGAAGGAGCGTCTCCACCCCCATCGCTCAGCCTGGACACTGAGGTCCAGCTCCAAGGGCCTTCTGGAGGTTCCCTCACTGCGAGAATCCAAGTTACAGGGAACCAGGCAGAGGGCCTTCTTGGTAGTGGCACCCTCCCTGTGGAACACCCTTCCTTCAGATGTCAAGGAGATAAATAACGAAACGACTTTTAGAAGACACCTGAAGGCAGCCCTGTTTCGGGAAGTTTTTAATGTGTGACATTTTAAGGTATTTTTAATTTTTGTTGGAAGCTGCCCAGAGTGGCTGGGGAGACCCAGCCAGGTGGGCGGGGTACAAATAATAAATTATTATTACTTTGGAAGGGGACGTTGTTTCCCAAACAGTTGGGGTGACCGTGTCTCTTTGTCTCAATATGTTCTTCCTCCTTCTGTGACCACAGATACCTGGCTGTGTGTTCATGCTGGCTCAGAATTTATTTCAGGTCAGGAAAGACACAAACATAGAGGGAACCCTGGATTCTGTGTGTGTACATTAAGGCTATCGAAAACAGCCTCTGTTTCAATCTGGTTCACTACCATTATCTTTATTTTAAAGGTGTTAGAATGTCCATGTGCAGACTTCAAGTTACCTCCATGTATTTTGACAAGGGATGTTTTCTGGAATGGGACTCATGTCTGTGGCTTCCACTAGGGCAAAAACTTACTTGAATCAGCCCCTCTACCTGCCGCATGGCCACCACTGGCCCCCTAAGCTAGTCAGGTGGAAAATGCTGTCCTGTTAACATTGGAATAACATCTCACTGCTAAGCCGGTCACCACCTGTGAGTGGATGGTTTTGGGGCATGTGATTGGGTCAGTTCGTGAGACCGAAATTGGCCGCTCTGTGCTGGCTTCCCAGAATGAAAGAGGAAATGCAAAATGGAAACCCCTTCGGGTAATTGGAGGCTATTCATTTGCCGTTCGTTTTGGATAACCTGCAACATTTTCTCCCCCCTCAGTGACCGGGAGGCAAAGATTCTTGACTATCAGACCCAGCAACAGAAGCTTCTCCCTCAGTTGGCAACCGCCTATGCCTTTTATTTCGTTGCAAAATATCTGCGGGACTTCTTTGACAGGGGCTACATGGAAACCAAAGAAGGAAAGTTTGACTTGCTCCCTGAGGTAACGTGAAGAAAGATAAGCAATATCCCTTCAAGCCTTCCTTTAGAAACCTTTAAACTTTGAAAGGTGTGTAATAAAACAAACAAATGATCAGAAGAAGGAACCCAGAAGATTTTGAAATATTTTTTTAAAAAGAAAAGAAGTATCAGGAAGAGGGCTACTTCAGACATATATCCGCATTGCTTGATTTGCAATCAGATGTGTGAGGTGATATTTATCTACGTTTACAGTGGTACCTCGGGTTAAGAACTTAATTCATTCCGGAGGTCCGTTCTTAACCTGAAACTGTTCTTAACCTGAAGCACCACTTTAGCTAATGGGGCCTCCTGCTGCTGCCGCACCGCTGGAGCACGATTTCTGTTCTCATCCTGAAGCAAAGTTCTTAACCTGAAGCACTATTTCTGGGTTAGCGGAGTCTGTAACCTGAAGCGTATGTAACCCGAGGTACCACTGTACTTTAAAAATATTTACATGCAAAGCCCATCCAAAGCCGTTTACAACAATAAAAACTCTCCCCCTCCTTATAGAATATTAGTAAAACAATGCTAAAAACAATCCACAAGAATAAAACAGACTAAGAAAAAGTAACAGTTTATTTTAAAAGTGACACAAGTGGTGTGGCTGCTGCAGGATTTCCCTCCTAAACTGATGTATTTTTCCCCCTCAACTGACAAACCTGCTTGTAAAAACCTGGCTGTTGAAGCTGATTTTAGATATGCAGGAAAGGCAAGTGTTACATTCCCTTCAAACTGTGCTGTTTCAAGCTCTGGGTGGTGGCAAAGCTCTGGGTGGTGGCAAACAACAATTGCTAGACGTGGAAAGCTAGACGGAAACCTTTGCTCCTGAGGTACTTCCCTTTTCACATGCAGGGTTCATTCAGACATGCGTCACCACATTAAAAAAACACTTTTCCCATCTTGAAATGGTCGAGTTTCAGTGGAGCATGTACTCGGTGCCGTCCTCCTGACTGAATTACCTGTTAAGTGAATTTTACCTTTGTGGGAATCTGCAGTTTCAGGGTTTAGTTCAGGGACAGTCATTGCGATGCCCTCCAGATGCCGTTGGACATTCCTGACCATTGACCATGCTGTCTGGGTCTGAGGGGAGCCAGAATCCATCAACATCCAGAGGCCGCCATGTTGGATATTCTCAGTATCATTGATAATGTGGCTAATTCCATAAATACAAACCAGAGTTTCTGACGTTGCACAAAATCCAGCACTTTTAAGGCCTCGCTGGTGTCCAGTAAAAGGTCTTAATTGGTTTTAACTGACTCTCACAGGAATCAACAAAACTTGCTCTAGCCGCTGTAGAGCATTGTCATGCTTATGCTTTGGTCTGATTGCAAATAAGTTTTGTAACCTATCCCAAGAATTTAGGACAGGTAACACTCCCGCGGCCATAAAAGATGACCTATGAATTTAAGCTGAGGAGGAGGATAATAGGAAAGGATATAAACCGACAGACATTTCATATGTCACTGGTCCAGAGATGCTGTTCTGTAGAATGGGAAATGCAGAAGTGATCCTCTCTTAACACTGTTCTTTCTGCCTTAATTCACAGCTTCATGCTCTTGCTGCAGGAATTAAAGTCATCGCTACAGACTACTGCTCGGCCGGAGTCGAGATTTGTCGGAAGGCTTGTGGGGGGCACGGCTACTCTCTTCTCAGCGGCCTGCCTTCCTTATTCACCAGGCAGGTGGCTGGTTGCACCTATGAGGGGGAAAACACTGTCCTCCTCCTACAGACAGCCAGGTAGCTGCACTGAAAACCTATCCAAATCTGTCTTCCATCTTGCTTCCAAGGCCCGTGCCAAAGCCACTTTAGATATCAGAAGCTTTTCCACGATACGTTTCACGTTTTATTTTCATGATTAAAACCATTTATACAGGGGGGTCTGAACTATGAGTTAGACCTTAATTGTTTAATCTGATTATTTGTATTTTGTCTGTTACTTTGTAAGGTAAAGGTAAAGGGACCCCTGACCATTAGGTCCATTCATGACCGATTCTGGGGTTGCGGCGCTCATCTTGTTTTATTGGCCGAGGGAGCCGGCGTACAGCTTCTGGGTCATGTGGCCAGCATGACTAAGCTGCTTCTGGCGAACCAGAGCAGCGCACGGAAACGCCGTTTACCTTCCCGCCGGAGCGGTACCTATTTATCTACTTGCACTTTGACGTGCTTTTGATCTGCTAGGTTGGCAGGAGCAGGGACAGAGCAACGGGAGCTCACCCCGTCACGGGGATTCGAACCCCCGACCTTCTGATCGGCAAGTCCTAGGCTCTGTGGTTTAACCCACAGCGCCACCCACATCCATCCCAATCTCCTTGTATTTGTATTGTTACTTTGCACTGTACCTTTAAACTCTACCACAGAGTACAGACATTTCATATGTTACTGGTCCATTTTCTGAAATTTGGAAAGTACAGTTCTCTACATGAGAACTGAAAACACCTAAAAAAACCTACTTGAAACTAGGCAGCCAAAGTTGTTGTGTCCCAAGCAACTTTATGCGGATTTATTTAAGGGAGTGCTTGACACTCCAAAATTCTGAAACAACAAGCTCCAAATTCGACAACTGGGAAAAACTGACATGCGTTGCATCCTTTTTTAGGTGTTTAACAGTTCTCATGTAGAGAACTGTACATTCCAATTCAGGGCACATTCCAATTGCTCAGCAGTCAACGCTATTGAAGCGTATTTTGCAGCCAACCTTCTGTGAGGGAAGGGAAAGTTGTCATTTTGGCCAGAACTAAAACCTCTTGCAGGCTCAAGAAACAGGATTTCCAAATTTCAGAAAATGGAAGGATTACATAATTTGGTTGTTGTTGTTGTGCCTGGGGACTAAGATAAGGATTAAGGAAATATAGAGGTGTGTGAGATGTTATGGGCTGAAAATCAGAATATGCAGTGCTCAAGTGTGCCAGTGTAACTCTTTTCTGTTCTGCAGACTCTGACTGGCAGAAGAATGAGTGGAAGAATGATTGACAGTGGAGGAATTGAGTCAAATGCTGGGTGGAGCTACGAGTGAGTGATAGGCAGATAACACCACTCTAGGATTATTTTTAATGAAGAGTGGGATTAGAAATCACTTAAGCGAATTGAGTGTTGATTGGAAAATGACAGTTGACTGACTGCAAGAGACAGAAAGAAATGGAGAATGAGATGAAAGAGATAGGAAGACAGAGAGCAAGCAACTGTAAAAGAGGATAGCTGTTTTTGAAATACCATTGAATATTCTGTATGCAATAACTGCTTGTTCTGGATGTTGTGTTCCTTAATCAATTGTCTGCTTAGCATTTAAACTGTGTTCTGGTCTGGGTGGACTCTAAGGTCCATACGTCTCATCCCATGTGGCTTGTGCAGATGTATTTGGGTAAGAATATAAAGGGAGAGGCCTGCTGGTGGCAGCAGGTATTTTGTGGGAAGTCTGTACTCAGTGGAGTCTTTGAGTGACTAATCAAGTGACCTCCTGGGGGTGGGCCTTTTAGGAGACTCTGGAATAGTGATCCTGACAAATATATTTTTTGTGTTTTCTCTGCAACAAGTAGGGTTGCAAACCCAGCACACTTAAGAATGCAAGATAGGAATTGCTGAGGATTCTGCAGCAGAGTCAATATCCTAAGATATAGCCATGATGCATGTTCTTAAATGGGACACGGGTGGCACTGTGGGTTAAACCACAGAGCCTAGGACTTGCCGATCAGAAGGTCGGCGGTTCGAATCCCTGCAATGGGGTGAGCTCCTGTTGCTCAGTCCCTGCTCCTGCCAACCTAGCAGTTCAAAAGCACCTCAAAGTGCAAGTAGATAAATAGGTACCACTCTGGCAGGAAGGTAAACGGCATTTCCGTGCATTGCTATGGTTTGCCAGAAGTGGCTTAGTCATGCTGGCCACATGACCCGGAAAAAATGTCTGCGGACGAACGTCAGCTCCCTCGGCCAGTAAAGCGAGATGAGCGCCGCAACCCCAGAGTCAGCCATGACTGGACCTAATGGTCAGGGGTCCCTTTACCTTTACCTTTATGTTCTTAAATATCTTTCTCCCCCTGGCCTGCCTATTAACTATCCTGTTTTCCAGTTATTTGTATCATGAGTCGTACAGGAACGTTGCCTTATCTGTGGCCTTGCTTTTTAACCGCTGAAAAATAAGTGTTTGGAAACAAGTCGTGTAGTTCAGCAAATGCCTCTGGGATGAGGATGTGGCTCAATTTTCATTTTCTTTGTCATTAGGTTTCTGATCAAGTGCCTTGGGATGGCACAAAGCGGCCAGCCTCTTCCTTCATCAGTTGCTTACCTGACTTCTGAAAGCTTTGGAAAATGCCAAGCCCAGGAAAAGAGAGACTTCCTCAATCCTGACGTTTACACTGAAGCTTATAGGCACAGAGCATTCAGGTTGGTACAGAGATGCTGGAACCCAACAGTTTTGCTTGGGTGGTGTTTTTGGTTTTTTGGGGGGGGGGGATTTCTTGCATGTCTCATCTTAAAGGCACAGGATGATAAACAACAGGAGATCAAATAAGGTGTATTCGTGATCAGGGAAGGCTGTGGGCTGTGGGCTGTGGGCCAAGTTGTATCAGTCTAACCTACCTCACGGGGTAGTTTGGTGATCTTACAATTGCTCCCCCAAACTCCCTTGATGAAGGGCTGATTACATAAGCCCTATCTGAAGGCTGAAAGATACTGTTCCCCGTGACCCTGAAATTACTAGTTGAATGTGTTAACTGCTTTTAGAATGCTTTTTAAAATAGTTTATATCAGGAATTCTCGAACTGTAGTCTGTGCACCACAGTGAACTGCGAGTTTCATTCAGGCAGTTTGTGTCATGGCTGCATTAAAAACATTTTTTTTAATTGTATTTTTATTGCTTCTTTTGTTTCTTATGTTGTATTTTATCTTGTTACAATTTCAAATCTATGGGGTGCAAATGGGTAATGCAATAAAATGCAATTTAAGAGCAAGATGCAAATGTTCTGAACGCAGGATAAATTCATCATATAACAGGGGACTTATTTGTACCGTATTTTTCGCTCTATAAGACGCACCAGACCACAAGACGCACCTAGTTTTTGGAGGAGGAAAACAAGAAAAAAATTATTCTGAATCCCAGCAGCCAGAACAGCAAGAGGGATCGCTGTGCGGTGAAAGCAGCGATCCCTCTTGCTGTTCTGGCTTCAGCGATAGCTGCGCAGCCTGCATTCGCTCCATAAGACGCACACACATTGCCCCTTACTTTTTAGGAGGGGGAAAAGTGCATCTTATAGAGCGAAAAATACGGTAATCTAGAAGCGGGGTAAGAGCTTCTGTGGAGAGAGGCTGGTACATGGGCATATTGCCCAAGCTATACATTCATCAAAACAGGGTGGTAGAGTTCTTAGGTAGTAGGGATTGCCATCACTTTAGGCCACATGACTTTTTGAAAAGAAAAGCTCCAACATTTTTTTCTAAGAGCTGTTTTAATTTGCATGGAGTTGTTTTTGTGCTTTGCATCATGGACCATTCAAAACTGGTGAAGACACCTGCGTGATACAGCCCAGATTTCTCTCACCTTCATTCTCCCCCATGTGCAGACCAGACCTTTGTTTCTGCCATTTAGGTGCATTTTTTTTAAATAGCCATAAATATTTGCAAAATTGTTGACAGTTTTTTGGGTGTCTATAATAGTTACTGAAGGAGCGTCTCCACCACCATCATTCAGCCCAGACACGGAGGTCCAGCACCGAGGGCCTTCTGGCGGTTCCCTCACTGCGAGAAGTGAGGTTACAGGGAACCAGGCAGAGGGCCTTCTCGGTGGTGGCGCCCGACCTGTGAAATGCCCTCCCATCAGATTTCAAGGAAATAAACAACTATCTGACTTTTAGAAGACACCTGAAGGAAGCCCTGTTTAGGGAAGCTTTTAATGTTTGATGTTTTGTCGTGTTTTTAATATTCTGTTGGGAGCCGCCCAGAGTGGCTGGGGAAACCCAGGCAGATGGGCGGGGTACAAATAATAAATTACTATTATTATTTTAATCTTTCCCTATAGAGTTGCAAGAAACGCAGCTGTCAAACTCCAGGGTTTGGTTCAGCAGGGAATGGCACAGCACGACGCTTGGAACAGGTGCTCTGTCCAACTTGCCCAGGCTGCCATGGTTGGTAAAAACTTTGTAGCTTCACCCACTACTGGCTCTTCTGCCAGGAATCCTGTCTCAGAAACTGCACTTGAAAAACTAAGCCAATAATCATCATCATCATCATCAGTACAGTGGTACCTCAGGTTAAGTACTTAATTCGATCCGGAGGTCCGTACTTAACCTGAAACTGTTCTTAACCTGAAGCACCACTTTAGCTAATGGGGTCTCCTGTTGCTGCCTCGCCGCCGGAGCATGATTTCTGTTCTCATCCTGAAGCAAAGTTCTTAACCTGAAGCACTATTTCTGGGTTAGCAGAGTCTGTAACCTGAAGCATATGTAACCTGAAGCGTATGTAACCTGAGGTACCACTGTACTGATGTGTTGTGTTGCTTTTTTTTTAAAAGCCCTGTTTTGTATAAGAACATGATACTGATGTTTCTAGATCTAAAAAGCACCTTGTTAAAGGAGGAGTGGCTAACCTTTGACCCTCAATATCTTGCTGGACTTCATCTCCCATAATCCCTGGCAACTGATCATTCTGGCCGGGACTGATAGGAGTTAGAATCCAGCAAATTCTGGGGGAGTCTTTTCGTAAACCGCTTTGAGGGTTTTTTATTTTTTAACAATCCAGTAGTCTATACATTTTATGAAATGGATAAATAAAAATAACCTTGCCTGGAGATGCCAAGGATTGAAGCTGGGGCCCTCAGATGATCTTCCCCTGAGCTACAACTTTCCCTAAATGGGTGTGTGTGATGATGAACAGTAGAAAGAACTGACGAGAGATCATTTTGTCTCACTGTAAATCGTTTCGGGACTTTCTGCTGTGGGGAGCGACGCATAAATTCAGTCCACCTAACCCAGCTCAGGATTTCTTTTAAGAGTTGTGGAAGCAAGACCCCATAATAGACAGAGTAGTGGAGTGGAGGTTTTGGGAAAGGAGTGAGGAACGGATTTGCAGGCTTATGCCTTTGCTGTGGAAACACAGGCATGCCAGACACAGCCCCCAGTCATGTAGGAGCACACTAGAGAGAATCAGCTCCCACTCAGCTGGGGGCTGAGTCTGAAAGGCACTGCGGTCACCTTGATATTGGGGTCATATCCGCACCAGGCATTTAACCCTCTTCCCACAAACAAACCTGGGATCTGTCATATGCTGAGAGTTGTTAGGAGACCTCTCACAGAACCATGTTCGAATCCCCACGATGGGGTGAGTTCCCATTGCTCTGTCCCAGCTCCTGCCAACCTAGCAGTTTGAAAGCACACCAGTGCAAGTAGATAAGTAGGTACTGCTGCGGCGGGAAGGTAAATGGCATTTCCATGCGTTCTGGTTTCCGTCACGGAGTCCCGTTGTGCCAGAAGCAGTTCAGTCATGCTGGCCACATGACCTGGAAACCTGTCTGTGGACAAACACAGCGCCTCACTCCATAGTCACCTTTGACTGGACTTAACCATCCAGGGAATCTTAACCTTTTTTACCTTTATAACGGTGCTGTGACCTCTAACAATTAGGCTGGAGACAATTCCTGGCAGCTGTGACCTTGAAATGAGAAACCACATAGCCCAGGAGTGGAACCCGGTTCCACAATGCCAACACTTCCCCCCCAAGGCGAGTTATCGCGCAGAGGTGAATGGTGCTTGCTTCTAGCTGTTTTTACTTTGCCAGGCTCACAGCCAATACATCGTGGTGGGAAAGTTTGTCAAAGCGCTGGAGACGTTTGGAAAAGAGGCTGCCATCCAGAGGGTCCTTAAGCATCTCTGCGACCTCTATGCCCTGCATGGGATCTTTTCGGACTTGGGAGACTTTGTGCAGGATGGCTACCTTTCTACAAAGCAATCTGACATGGTGACCGAATCGTACCTGGATCTCCTGGCTGTCGTTCGGTGAGGTTATCCTCTTTTTCTGCTAAGGGCTTAATGCCATTGGTTCCATGTTTGGAACATACGTTGTGTTGTAACAGTCATTAAACAATGCTGTATATGAAACTAGCAAGCTGCCCATCTTTAGGATGGGTGAAGAAGGAGACTCACAGAACTACAATTCCCAGAGTTCCTGGGAAGAGGGATGGAATGCTTAACCGTTCTGAGAATTGCAGCTCCGTGAAGGGAATAGGGGCCTTCCTAACATCTGTCAGCATCCTTAATAAACTACACTTCCCAGGATTCTTTGAGGCTCAAGTGGTTTAGGATTGCTTTAAATGTATGTGGCCTTTGTCAATTTGGTATGCTTGAATGGCATTGAAGCTACAAAGCCCTTATTCACCCGTCAAATAGAAAATGTCTCTTTGACCTTTTGGTCAGTTTCCTACTCCGATGACGTCTCTTGTGGCTTATTGAGATCTTGTCTGTTTTTAATAAAAACAATCAGATAAAAATATTGCAATAAGCGTTGGCGTTCCTGCTGGTTCTGAAATTTTGAAAAGCGCAGAAGCCGCGACCTCTCCGTTTCCCAACGGAAGCGGATGCCTCAGCACCGTCGGGTGGTTTTGATTCAAAATCAGCTACGTGGGCTTTTTAAAGAAGTCAGAAATATTTACTCTAAAGACTTTTATCAAATCGCTTCCAATAAGGAGGGTGACTATGATGTCATGACTTCACCACGAAGCATAAAAGCATTAAAAGATAAAGCTATCGTTTGCATGCCATTAACGGATTATCTTCGGGGTTTACCTTGGTGGATTGAAATTAAAGAGACACAATCTGTAACCGATAGATGGTAAAGTAAATTGTTCTGCTGGCTTCCCTGTGAAACTTACATTTTCTTATTATTTTCAATTATCCCATGTGTATCCCCTTTCATTTGTCTGGGATCACAATATAGCTACCCAGCATAGAATAACACTACAGGGTTTATTCTGGGTTATAAAACCCAAAGCAACGGGTGCCCCTAGATATCAAAATAGTATCTTCCATACCTAGCTCTGAGAACAGATTTATTTGTGCAGTCAATAGACAAATTGATTATCTAGCGATGGAGGTAGATATAGCGAAAAGATGTAAATAAGAAGGCAGTAAGGACAGTCTCCTGTCAGACCACCCAACCTACCAGATATTTTGGCCTACAATTACTGTACTTTTCCATGTATAAAACTAGGGTTTTTTACTTTAAAATTATGTGGAAAACTGTGGGTTGTCTTATAAAAGGGGCAATCTCCCCCCCTATTTTCTTAAATTGGAGTCCCTAAAAATAGGGGGTGTCTTATACATGGGGGCGTCTTATACACGGGAAAATACGGTAGTTCATTTATGAGAGGGGTAGGAAACTTATAGCCATCCTGCTGTGGCTGAATCACAGTTCCTATTATCCCAAACCATTGGCCCTCCTAGCTGGAGCTGATAGGAACTGGGAGCCCAACAACAACTGGCAGGCCACAGACCTGTGCTCCCTGATTGACAATGCCATTTGATCTAGACTACCGCAATGCGCTTTACATGGAACAGCCCTTGAATCATAGAATCATAGAGTTGGAAGAGACCACAAGGGCCATCGAGTCCAACCCCCTGCCAAGCAGGAAACACCATCAGAGCACTCCTGACATATGGTTGTCAAGCCTCTGCTTAAAGACCTCCAAAGAAGGAGACTCCACCACACTCCTTGGCAGCAAATTCCACTGTCAAACAGCTCTTACTGTCAGGAAGTTCTTCCTAATGTTTAGGTGGAATCTTCTTTCTTGTAGTTTGGATCCATTGCTCCGTGTCCGCTTCTCTGGAGCAGCAGAAAGCAACCTTTCTCCCTCCTCTATGTGACATCCTTTTATAGGCTGTTTGAAGGCTGTTTGAAAACTTCACTCAGGTAGCCAGCACAGGGCCACCTGGATTTTACAGACTACAAGCTTCCCTTTGTGCTAAATGACTATGGGAACAAAAGAGAAAGCACCTCACTCCAGTTTTGGCTGACTTGCACTGACGGCCAATTTGCCTGCAGTCCAGTTCAGGATCTTGGCACTTCCTTCGAAGCTGTAAATGTTCTAGGTCCTGCTTTAAAAAGAGGGCTCCTTTTGTCTTTGTCTTCATTAGCCAAATTATCAGCGTTGCAGCCCTGCTCGTGCTGTAGCAGGATATTGCTAGAATCCTAGAACTGTGGAGTTGGAAGGGACGTCATGGGACATCTAGTCCAAGCCCTTGAAATGCAGGAATCTCAGCTAGATCATGCATGACAGATGGCCATCCAACCTCTGGTTAAAAACCTCCAAGGAAGGAGAGTCCACCACCTCCTGAGGGAAACTGTTCCACTGTTGAACAGCTCTTACTGTCAGAAAGTTCTTCGTGATGTTTAGACGGAACCTCCTTCCTTGTAACTTGAATCCTTTGGTTGAGGTTCTCCAGAGAGGAGAAAACAAGCTTGCTCCATCTTCCATGTGACAGCCCTTTAGATATTTGTAGATGGCCATCATATCCCATTCTGCCAGGACACTGAGGTCCAGCACTGAGGGCCTTCTGACAGTTCCCTCGCTGCGAGAAGCCAAGTTACAGGGAACCAGGCAGAGGGCCTTCTCAGTAGTGGCGCCCGCCCTGTGGAACGCCCTCCCACCAGATGTCAAAGAGAAAAACAACTACCAGACTTTTAGAAGACATCTGAATCCAGTGCTGTTTAGGGAAGCTTTTAATGTTTGGTGGACTATTGTATTTTAATATTCTGTTGGAAGCCGCCCAGAGTGGCTGGGGTATAAATAATAAATTATTATAATATTATTATTATTATTATTATTATCCCCTCTCAGTCTCCTCTTTTCCAGGCTAAATATGCCAGCTCCTTCAACCGTTTCTCATTGATCAATTTGGTCACCCTGCTCTACACACATTGCAGCATTTCAATATCCTCCTTAAATTGTGGCGCCCAGAACTGGACAGAGTTAATGTTTATGCTGCAGAAGGAACAAAAAAAAACTTTCTGGCACTTCTAGGGTACAGAGCAAGTATTAGGGGTTTTATTTGGTTTTTATGGAGTAGAAATTGTGACTCGTATATTGGGGCTCATTAAGATTCCTTTGCTCTTTTTCAGGAAAGATGCTGTGCCCTTAGTGGATGCATTTGATTTCTCAGACGCAAATTTAAATTCAGCCCTTGGCTCCTACGATGGTCAAGCCTATCAGAGGCTTTACGAGTGGGCCAAGAAGTCACCAACCAACCATCAGGTGAGAACAGCGCATGCCAAAGTCAACAAGCAGCCAGACAACTTAAAGGAGAGGCCTATCAGTGCTTCCCCGTTTAACGTGAATTAATTGTCATGCTGCACTAAAGGTAATGGGACCCCTGACCATTAGGTCCAGTCGTGGACAGCTCTGGGGTTGCGGCGCTCATCTCGCTTTATTGGCCGAGGGAGCTGGCGTACAGCTTCCGGGTCATGTGGCCAGCATGACTGAGCTGCTTCTGGCGAACCAGAGCAGCACACGGAAACGCTGTTTACCTTCCCGCCGGAGCGGTACCTACCGTATTTTTCGCTCTATAAGACGCACCAGACGACAAGACGCACCTAGTTTTTGGAGGAGGAAAACAAAACAAAAAAATATTCTGAATATCCCTCTTGCTGTTCTGGCTTCTGTGATAGCTGCGCAGCCTGCATTCGCTCCATAAGACGCACACACATTTCCCCTTACTTTTTAGGAGGGGAAAAGTGAGTCTTATAGAGCAAAAAATACGGTATTTATCAACTTGCACTTTGACGTGCTTTCTAACTGCTAGGTTGGCAGGAGCAGGGACCGAGCAACGGGAGCTCACCCCGTCGCGGGATTCGAACCGCCGACCTTCTGATCGGCAAGTCCTAGGCTCTGTGGTTTAACCCACAGTGCCACCTGCGTCCCCTGTCATGCTGCACTAGAGCAGGGCAAAGCCTGCTTTCCATACTGAGCCGAAATAAAATTTAATTATGGGAAGCACATTTGTGTTTAATATATGCAGACTGAGCACAAATTAAACATTTGCGTTCAATTTGCATAACTTAATGCATATTAGCATTCCACAATGCATAGTTTGGATTCGCACGGTGCAGAATTCTGGACTGTTGTGACAGATTTAGCCCAAAATACAAGCAGCCCTGAGCATCGTAAACAGTAGATGGAACAGGGCAGGGAAGTGTTAACTGGAGCCAAAAAGTGCAGGGGGGAAAATGAGTTTGGGGTGGTTCGGGGCAAGCTTTATTTTTAGGGGGGGGGCTGGCTGGAGCTTTGGAGAAGGCGGGGGAAATAAGGAGAGTTGAGGGGTGATATGGCATTAGCCACAAAAAAAGAGCAGTGAGTGAAAAGAACACAGATCATCTAACACACGGAAAGATGGAGAAACAGGAAGAGAGTCAAGGCACATTTATATAAAGAGTTGTGTGCGCTCCACAATGCTGTGCAGAAAGGTGAGGGGGCACACCAAATTTGCTATGGGGCACATTTATTTTTAGGAAAGGCAATTTTCTACCTCTGGCGACTGCAGCGAGAAGCATGAAAGTACATTGTCAGCATCTAACAATCTTCAGCGCCGCAGTGGGAGCTTATTAGGACTCCCAGCAGCCAACAGGGTGAGCTGTTCCTTGGATTTCTCCCCAAGCAGCAAAACCAGAATCACAGGGAAGCCAAAGAGGGGCACAGCTCTTGACTAAAATCAGAGGGAGAAATGGGGCAGCAGTTGTGGGTTTCCTGAAACCATGATTCAAGAACTTGAGGATACATTCTGCAAAATAGGGAAATCATCTGCACGATTTGCTTAACTGTGCACTTAATAGAATCCAGGTTTTATTGCTGCAGAGTTTGGGCACAGGTATTAGTAATGTCGGTAAAATGCAGGCATGTTTCACTCTTGCATATCTGCAAGGGAGAATGAGACAGCTCAATGCAGAGCCCTGCTTATATGCAAGGCTCAGGAGCCTGACCCTGATGCAGTTGAAAGCTCCTGAGGGCCTTAGGAGGACACAGGTGACATGCTCCTAGTGGCAGAAAGAGGAGATAGAGCAGGAAGAGGCATCAGTAGTCTAAAAGAGCACCGTTTGAGAGCTTCAGTGTGGTGTAGTGGTTCGAGTGCTGAACTAGGACCTGGGAGACCAGGGTTCAAATCCCCACTTGGCCACGAAGCTCACTGGGTGATCTTGGGAGTCGGTCACCGCCTCTCAGCCTAACCTACCTCACAGGGGTGTTGTGGGGGATTAGATGAGGAGCGGCAGAACCACGTATGCCACCTTGAGCTCCTTAAGAGAAAAGCAGGAAATAAGTAATAGGCAATTGCTTTGCTAGCAGGTACAGGAAGGGCTGGTCTTGGCAAAATAATGCTCAGCACTTTGTTGTTATTTAGTTGTTTAGTCATGTCCGGCTCTTCCGGCTGTTGTTGTTGTTTAGTCGTTTAGTCGTGTCTGACTCTTCGTGACCCCATGGACCAGAGCACACCAGGCACTCCTGTCTTCCACTGCCTCCTGCAGTTTGGTCAGACTCATGCTGGTAGCTTTGAGAACACTGTCCAACCATCTCGTCCTCTGTCGTCCCCTTCTTCTTGTGCCCTCCATCTTTCCCAACATCAGGGTCTTTTCAGGGAGTCTTCTCTTCTCATGAGGTGGCCAAAGTCTTGGAGCCTCAGCTTCAGGATCTGTCCTTCCAGTGAGCACTCAGGGCTGATTTCCTTCAGAATGGATAGGTTTGATCTTCTTGCAGTCTATGGGACTCTCAAGAGTCTCCTCCAGCACCATAATTCAAAAGCGTCAATTCTTCGGCGATCAGCCTTCTTCATGGTCCAGCTCTCACTTCCATACATCACTCCTGGGAAAACCATAGCTTTAACTATACGGACCTTTGTTGGCAAGGTCTCTGCTTTTTAAGATGCTGTCTAGGTTTGTCATCACTTTTCTCCCAAGAAGCAGGCATCTTTTAATTTCGTGACTGCTGTCACCACCTGCAGTGATCATGGAACCCAAGAAAGTAAAATCTCTCACTGCCTCCATTTCTTCACCTTCTAATTGCCAGGAGGTGATGGGACCAGTGGCCATGATCTAGGCTTTTTTGATGTTGAGCTTCAGACCATATTTTGTGCTCTCCTCATTCATTCTCCTCCTTCATTAAGAGGTTCTTTAATTCCTCCTCAGCACTTATTTGCAAGGCTTTATTAGGTGATGTATGTGGCCTGCATCTCAGCCACTGCAGGAACACACTGCGCATAAGCACGTCTTCCTACAGCGCCTTTTCCAAACATGACCTTCATACTGGTTCCATTGCTGAACTCTGCAGCTGGGCAAGAGCCCATAAGCCCTGCCTTTACCCTCTTCGGTCTTGACGCTAAAGAAGGAAGCACAGGGTTAGACAGGAAATGGACTCCTCCACAATGGCTTCTGTTTTCTGCCCTGAGTAGCTGACTGTCTATGCGATTGACACTCACTTTCTGTCTCCCCAACAGGACAACCGGATTTTTGAGACGTATTTGAAGCCGCTTTTCCAGAACGCCCTCTCCAAGCTGTGAAAGGAGGAAATGAAGCAGAGAGGCAGCTCCTCCGCCCCCCCCCCCCGCTGCTCTCAAAGCAACACCAACGTTTATTGATTAATGTAAACCCATAAAATGTAGTGGCCGACTGCCTTTTGAGTTTTGTCCATCAAAACATTCTCTTGAGTTTTCCTGGCAAGCGGAAGGAAGCCAGCGAATCTGAACAATTTGCTTTGGCGGTGGGGAGATGCCTTTTAACTTCACCAAATAAGCCAAGTTTTATTTTATTTCGCTGTTCACAGCAGCCCTTGCTGACATGTATGTGCCAGCTCAGTCCACCGGAATTACTGCCATGAGATCAGTCCACCAGCCGTTTTCGGGCTGGGATTGGGGAACCTGTGGCCCTGCAGATACAGCTGAATTACAGCTCCCATCATCCTTGACCATTGGTCATGCTGACCAGAACTAGGAGGAGCGTCACAATTCCCTCCCTTGCTTTAGGATCCGGACCAGGACCAAGGGGGTAACAGTTATACAGAACCCCCTAGAGAGTCGGTGTGGTGTAGTGGTTAAGAGCAGTGGACTTGTAATCTGGTGAACTGGGTTCGTGTCTCCGCTCCTCCACATGCAGCTGCCGGGTGACCTTGGGCTAGTCACACTTCTCTGAAGTCTCTCAGCCTCACTCACCTCACAGAGTGTTTGTTGCGGGGGAGGAAGGGAAAGGAGAATGTTAGCCGCTTTGAGACTCCTTCGGGTAGTGATAAAGCGGGATATCAAATCCAAACTCTTCTTCTTCCCTATAGCAACTTTATTGATGGCAGAATTCTGGTGATGGCAGAAGGGATTGCTATGGCTCTTCTCAGGGCCTGGCCACACCCACCTGTCACTCACTTGATGTCATATGACCTCAGGTGAAGCCGCGACTACAAAGGAGCAACTGGGAGCATTAGATTGGGGCTCCCAGTTGTTCCTTTTGCAAGCAGGGCTTGCAATGTAAATCTGGAGCAGAATGCAAGCCGCACCATTTCAGCCAGGTCAGATCCACTTGATGTCATGATTTCAGGTGACTGGCAGGGGGGCCTGCTTGCCCACCTTGGACTGGCTGCAACTTGAGCCAACCAAAAATGATTCCGCCCCCTTTTCTAACACACGTTTCCTGCGTGGAAATTCGCCTGCACTAATGCAAGCAAACGCATGGAATGGTCCGTAATGACGATTCTTGTTTTTAATACTTTCAGGGAAACGTACCTATTCTCCAAGTGCCTAACCAGTAAAAAAAAGAAACTCGGCAAGATGCCTTTAAGAACCACCAGACCCTTAGGATGTAATTGTAGGTCTCTCAAACCCACCTCGCAACCTCTAATTTAAAATCTCGCTGTGGTGACAGAGCTTGCACTAAATTAAAGATCCTGCACAGGAAAGACAGGGGTATAGATGTTTTAAATTAATTTCACACAGGCACCAGGCTGGCAGAAGCACACAAGCTGAAATTAAGCTAATGATCAAGTTCCATTTAATCAGCTTGCAAGTGTGCAATTTAGGAAGAGCACTTTTAAGCAAATAAATTGCAATTCAGATGCTTCCAAGTGGGGAAGGGATGCAAGTTCGTCCCCTGCCTAAAAAAGGAACAATGGCCTCATCCACGGGCACCTCTGCTAACCTACCACAGTGAATTGTTGAGGATAAAATGTGAGGAAAGCTATGTATGCCATGTGAAGCTCCTTGGAGGACGCAGGGGATACATATGTATCTCGCCCCCTTTTTTTTAGTGATAGACTACTACAATGCACCCCATGTGGGGCTTACCTTGAAGACTGTGCAAAAGCTGACCCTACTGCTGCTGCCAGGTAAACACATGGGGCAGCAAGAGGGGCTCGTGTGTCACCAATCCTTAAAGCGCTGCACGGTCTGCCTATGAGCTGTGCCCGATTCAAGGGATCAGTACAAAACCCCAAGTGGCTTGATACTCAAGTACTTAAACCAAGTGCCTTCTTCAGTTTCTGTCAGTTCGGGCTTTGAGATGGCGAAGCTGTACTTGTAGAGAGACATGGGTCGTGGGGCCATGATGCAAAGCAGAGACTTCTCGGTGGTGTCTCCCTGGTTGTGGAATTCCATCCTGGTGGAAAGCTGGCTCCCCCCCCCCCCCACACACACACTGTTATCATTCTTGAAAACTTAGAACATACTTTAGTACAGAGCTGGACTGGAGTTCAGCAGTCTAGGTATCGCCGTCTGTTGAATTGTATTTCATTGCTGATAAGGGTTTTATGGTTTTATGCATATTTTATTTTTATGATTATTGTGCAGCACTTTGAGCTTCTACAAGAGGGGGGAAGGCTGAGGAACAAAGAGCAATAAATAATGATCTTGTGAATAAATTAAAGGAGCGCTGTAAAGGAATGGGGGAATCCTCTGCTGGCGTTTAAAGTTTAAGAGCAAGAGGCTGCATGTGCGACTGTGGTTGGAACGTGAAAACTAGGACTGAGGAGTCTTGGATTCAAATCTATACTCAGCTATGAAGCTCATTTGGTGGTCCTTGAGCTGTCACCTTCCCTCATCCTAAACTGCCTCATTTGTTGTTGTTAGGATAAAGTGCAAAGGGGGTGGAGGCAAAGAACCATGGAGTCCGGGAGGAAAGGCACAGAATAAAAAGGTAATACCCTCAAGCTGAGGTGAAGATGAAGGAGGGATCGTAACAGCTTGACAAAGGCCACCTAATGAGTTTGTAATCAAGCTACAAGTTGAATAGAGGATTTGTTTCCTCACACTTAAAGTCACTTTGCTGTATCTGTAGCTCATTAATGCACTACGTCAATGTAGCTCCATGGCGTCATTGAGATGAGTACTTTAAACAAAAAGAAAGTGTCATTTGCAAGTGAAGCTGTTGCCCTTGTATAGTTTCCTTCGGAATCCAAGAGGTGATGGGTCTATCTTCCCCACACAATGTTGTTCTATTTTTAAATGGTGCCGCTTATTTTTTTTTTTTAGATTCTGCTATTCGTACGTTGAACAATTCTACCCATTGCAAATAAAAACATGTAATGCCACGTTGTCTTATTGAAATGATTGGTGTTGTTGGTTTGTCAATGGAGACATATATGAGGAGAGAACAGCTTTTGGGGAGGGGTGCAGGATTTATTGGTGCTGGAACCCTCCAAATCTACTGCTAATCCAGACTGAAATACTGGAAAGGGTTTGAGTAAAGAATTAAGCGAACCTTGGATGAAGCTAGCAGGGCCCTCTGCTTGATGTTTAGAAATGTTTTTAGTCTTGAGTTAAATTTTGCAGGCCTCCGTTGTCTTCAAATTCCACATTCCCCCTTCTTGCATTCTGTCTTCTGGGATTATTTTATTTGGGAGAGTTTGGTAAAACGGCCAGCTAATACAGGTCCACTGAAGCAGCCTCTTACTTATTGAAGCTGTCTCACAAAATTAATGAGCCTATTTGTAGTAACCAGGCAGCTGTTGCAAAGCAGAGGGACAAGCAAGCTATTTCGCTTTAGTAGCGAAATACAGTGGTACCTCGGGTTACATACACTTCAGGTTACATACGCTTCAGGTTACAGACTCCCCTAACCCAGAAATAGTACCTCGGGTTAAGAAATTTACCTCAGGATGAGAACAGAAATTGTGCTCCAGCAGTGCGGCAGCAGCGGGAGGCCCCATTAGCTAAAGTGGTGCTTCAGGTTAAGAACAGCTTCAGGTTAAGAACGGACCTCTGGAACGAATTAAGTATGTAACCAGAGGTACCACTGTACATTAACAACCCTCTGCCGCTATTCCAGCAACTCCTGCATCCAAGCTGGTGCCAAATGTATTGCTCTGCTTTCCTTTGGACCACATCAGTGAGGACGAGAGGGCGGTCTTGTTGTCTGGGCAGCCCAAGACCTCCCTACACACTGCCCATTATCATTTATCACCCCCCCCTTCACTCTAAGGCTGCAGGATGGGTTACAACACTTGAACACAATATTGAAAACAGCTGAGAACATAACCAATTTTTAAAAACCTCTTATACGTAAACTTTCCCGAAGTTTTTAGCAAACTTTATTGAACTTTTTTGTGCTTTTACTGCTTTCATATACCGTATTTTTCGCCCTTTAGGACGCACTTTTTCCCCTCCAAAAATGAAGGGGAAATGTGTGTGCATCCTATGGGGCGAATGCAGGCTTTCGCTGAAGCCCGGAGAGTGAGAGGGGTTGGTGCGCACCGACCCCTCTCGTTCTCCAGGCTTCAGGAGAGCCCCACCGCCAGCCCCACAAGCTCGGGGGACAGCGGGGAGGTGCAGCGCGCCATCCCGCTGTCTCCCGACGTGGTTTGGAGGCTGGCGGAGGGCTTCCCCCTCCCCCAGCCGCGCAAACTCCCAGAGCGATGCTGAAGCTGCCCGCAGCTTCGGCATCGCTCTGGCTCCTGTTCTGGGGGCTGGGGTCGGGGGAAGCTCGGGCTTCCCCCGCCCCAGCCCTGCGCCTGGGGGGGGGGGAATAATTTTTTCCCCTTTATTTCCCCGCCTCCCAAAAAAAATCTAGGTGCGTCCTATGGGCCGATGCGTCCTATAGGGCGAAAAATACGGTAATAGGCTGCTTAGATTTCTTTCTCTTTTTTTTGGTCTTTAACTGAGCAAAAAATAAACAAACAAACACTGTAGGGGAAAACACGCTGGTGCAAGCCTCCTTTATCTGCCTGAGGCAGAAACCTCCCTCCCTCCCTCTGACATCACTAAAGAAGCAAAAGCAAGACTTAATGACTTTTTAATTAAAAACCCTTCAGGCCGTTCGCAAGCAAGGTTGCAACAATTATTGAATGAATAGGTACGCACACGCACACAAACACACACACCTGAATGCCATGTTCCAGAACTGCTTTCTGTGCGAGCTCTAAAACATGACCTTAAAGGCATCTTATGCTGTAATATTTATAATACTGTTTCTCTCACGTTTCTTGACCTCGTGTATTTCATCGTATAAGGGTCATATCTGTGTTACTACAAGCCCCATGCACAAACACAAAGCGAGAGAGACTGCTGCAATTGTACATTTCTAAATGCTTTAAAAAAACTGTTTATCTGCATCCACGAGAAACAAGCTTTTTGTTTGTTTTAATGGCAGAGAAGGTCGGCTCCTGTGTTCTTAAGAGAACCCTCTGTTGTCCCGAGTGCTCATCTGGAGGCTGGAGAATGCAAAGGGTGTTCTGGCATCTATTAGCGCTAAGCAGACGCAGAACACAAGCGCTCAGATGGTATGAGGTCATAAGCCTGGGAGGGGTGGGAAGGCTTCGTGAAAGATCCCCGAATGACGGGAGATCAGCAGTGGCATTTGTGCATCTCCACAATGCAAATGCAACAGCAATACAATAAAATGCATAGGAAACATATGTGCAGACTCACTACTCCTTCCCCTTACAAGCAAAATTGTAAAGCAAGATTTGTTTTTTAACCCCATTCAAAAAGCATTTGGTAGGGCCTCAGAGGACCAGATCAAATTGTTTCAAGGGCTAGATCTGGCCTGCAGCGTGCCAGCTGGCCTTCTTTATTCTACGGGAAGATGCAATTCTTCACAATTATATTCCTCTTGCCCAGCCCAGCTGCCCTGTGTAATATAGATCCCTAAATCCTGACAAAGTTCACTGCAGCGCTGTCATTATTTTGCTTAGAAAATTCCAACCAGTGATTCTAAAAAGTTTTCTTTCTTTCTTCATTTTCATTTACTCCTATGTATCTTGGAATAATTTCGAGAGAGCAAAAAAAAAAACCCCAAATCTGTAATTTCCATTTTTTTTATTAGCTTCTTGCTGGCAAGCATTACACCTGGTAATTATACTGCACCAGGCATTTTTTTAAAAATTCTGCCACAGGTATTATTATTATTTCATTCCAAATCCAATGAAAATATTTCTAACTGTATTTTTATCGCCATGGGTAATATTTGGTTGCTTGTTTTATAATGCATAGAAAGAAAGAGTTCTCATAACTGTAAAATGCTGTACTGCTGACAATAAAACCAGGGGCAGAAGAAGCCTGATGGTACCTCAATTATTTTAATACTGCTTGCTTACCGATTTATGAAAACTAGGTTAGATTACATGATGGTAGCTTTTCCTCTCCCCAGCTGCACTTTAACAAATCTGGGTACAGCCCAGAGAGAACATCTCCTACACAAACTTCTCTTGTACTGTTTCTTATTCGTTTTGGTGTAGCTTACGCATGAGATAATTCACACTGGACTGGAGCCTCTGGAGTGGTTTGTAATAGCACTGGACGGGTTAAACACAGGTTAAAAACCAGGAGACAATTTTTAGCACTTTACATTGTACGGTGTGAACACCATGGAAAACGTGTCCTAAATGTAATTATTTCACAGTCCTTCCAAAGATGCCCTCTTGCTTCATCCTTTGAGAAAATAAAAAAATAAAAGTTTCTTTGATGGAAGGAGCAGGCACATGCAAACATGTGTCACGACATGACGGAAGATTAGAGGCCGGAGCATGCCCATTCTCCGGTCCTTAGGAATCCATAATAAATATTTAAAACCAATATATATATATATATAATCTATGTATATATGGAGAAAGGGAGAGATGCAGAGATTTTCTCCAATGTTGTTTAATTGGAAGCCAGTCTCCAGTCTCTTAATACCTTGTCCTGAGAAGCTGCTACATAGCTTCTGGACGGTAAACAAACGGGGAAAGAAGGGGTGAAATCAGTCGTCCGTTTTCTGTGCCAGTCTACAGAAAGTCCAGTTGTGTTCCACCGTATTTTCATTGGCTCGTTCGCTCATGTGGTGGACCCTGGTGTTTCGGATGGTGAAGCCTTGCTTTGTGATGTACTCCATCAGGTGGACCCGAAGGGAGACTTCTTGGTGGTAATCGCAGGGCCCAAACGTGAAAGAAACTTGGCAGTCCCTCGTGTCCATCATATGCTTGTTCCACTTTGTGAAATAGTTGGAGATCCCTTCCAGCAACGAGTGGACCTTGGTCGTGATGGTCAGCTGCGTTATGATCACCGCTACCGGGTTGGAATATTTCGAGAGTTTGCGAGTGCTGGAAAGCTCCACCACTTCCTCAAAGGTATCCACGGGATACAGAGGTTTGGGCTCGTTAAGACACTGTATCAAAGGTTCGATCTGGTAGAAGTCCGCTTCTTTACGAAGCAGGTCAAATTCCTTGAAGTCCAGAGGCAGAGTCAGCTCTGACGTCCGTAAAAAGTTGAGGACGTACCGGAAAAGCGGCCCGTCCCGGTCAATGAAATAGTTGCCCTGGGAGTCCCTGGCGGTGGGGAAGCCTCCCCGGAACATGGCTCCCAGCATGGAATCGGGGTACCTCGTGAGCGTGGTGAGCGACGTCGTATACAAATGTCCACCCACATTCAGAGTGACTGGCTCAGTCATCTGCGGAAGGGGAGAGGAGAAGTTTCAGAGCTCTCACAAGCCAACATATGAATACCCCGTAAGTACCTTAAACAACCATTTAAAAAACCACTGCTTGTACAAACAAACAAGCAAGCAAGCAATAAGAACTGCACTTTCCCCCTGTATGACTTAGCATGGGGCATTATTATCCAAAGTTAATTAGGGTAGAGCCCAACTTGCGCTCACGGAAGGGGTTGTGATCCAGAAGAACAGAAATGGAGGGGAGTTTTCCTGATTTGCCCTTCCACCTGCAGCCATAGCTGTCAACTTACAGATTTGAAAATAAGGGACCAGCAGCCAAAATAAGCGATTTTCCAAGCACAGGTATGTTCAACTTCTGAGCCCGTCCGAGCCAAAGGCAGAAAGCCCAGCCAGCAGCCAAACGAAGCCTCAAGCGGTTGTTCCCACAGCGCAGCAACCCGGCAAAGGGGATGCAGCAAGGAAAACCACCATCACCTCTCCACTGGGAATCGCTGAGCAAAAGCGAGTCCCCAGGCAATGCGGCCGATTTGATCGGCACATGGCATGCAAGCCCAGTCGTTCTTAGACTCCTTATTGGGTGAGCAACGCAGCCAAGCAACACAGTTGGAGCCTCCCTCCTCTCTGGCCAGCAGGGAGGGAGGGAGAGGAGCTGCTTCCTTGAAACCCAGGAAATGTAAGGGACATCATCAATAAGGGACAGCAGCGGGACATGGGGCTGGGATAAGGGAGTTTCCCGCCAAATAAGGGACGGTTGACAGCTATGCCTGCAGCTCTCCCTCTTGCCACCTGCCACCCTGTTCTGGAGGGTCCCTAGCTCAATTTTTAGGTGGCACAAAGAGGGAGCAGGGGAGAGAGGACAACCCCCCCCCCAAAAAAATTGCCTGTCCTCTTAGTAGAGGCACTGCCTGAATCAAAAGCCCCTCGTCTGAGCCCAAAGCCATCAACTGGATTCCTCCCCGATAAGGCAGAACAGTATTTATAATCTGCCTTTCAATTCCATCTGGAACACAACTGTACCATCCTCTGGGAAGCATTCATCTAGCCATATAATTAGCTGCTCTCTTGGGCCGAGGAACAATTGCCAACGGGTGACCAAACGCAGCCACCTATCAGTGGCGCAGCATCTGACTCATCCCGCATCGCCCTGGCTCTGCGTCCCGTTCTCTCCTGGCCTGCCATTTCCTTTTGAGATCACAGTGCAGACCCTGCCGTTCATGCAGTTATTCTACTGTGCTGTCACCCCTGCGCACAAGTGTCCCCACCTCTTGTCCAAAGTGGAAAGGAAGGTGGGCAACCAGGTGAAGGGAGGCGTGACTGCCTCTTTATCCTTAACTTACAAAGCTGAAAAAAGTAAGAGGTGCGAGAAAGGTACCCCAGGGTCAGTCGCAAACCACTGTTCCCTGTAGCACTCCTGGCACACACGCCACATTGGTTTGCACCCAATGTTAGCTCTGCCCAGAGCAGAGCCATTGAAATCCACGGTCATGGCTAGCTTAGACTCATTCATTTCAACTGGTCTACTATTAACCCCACTGGGCTTTATACAATTATGGTACCCCCCTGGAGGCTGCACTAATTGGCTCCATGAAGCCAATTTCACCCAAGAATGAGCTCACTTATGCACCCCATGTGCCTTTGTCCACAATGCTGCACAACTCTTTTGGAGATTTTTTTTGTGAAAATGTGTCTGGAAGGGAGGGAACCTGCTTAGCCTTTACAGTGTAGCCCAGCAGGCTACAGAGTCTGAATTCAAGCACAATGCCTCTCCTTACTCTATGCACATTCAACATATACTAGGCAGAAATAGCTCAGCCGAACAAAAAAGAAACCAATGCCGAGAGGACCAGCGGCACCAGACTTGAGTAAGGATCTCTTTTAGGTCGAAATAAAAGAGCGACATAACAAATGAACTGCTGAAATGAAGAGCCAATTAGGAGAAATGCGTGATTTGCCCAGAGAAGCCCCCCAGGATGAGTCAATAGAAATAGCAAAATAAGGCTCCTTTAAAATATTATACTAAAGCTGGAGATAAAACTTTCTGGCTGCAAACATCAATGACTTCTTGACCACTGCACTGGAAAAAAAACAAGGCAGATTCACTTCTGGGCCAGGTGGCAGATTCATGAGCGAACTAGCAGGACATAGAGTGCTTTTGAGTCAAGGTGAGATGCTCATCTAATTCTTCCGTTGCCTGCGGGATGGTTTTTAGAAAAGGATGCCTGGCATTAGGAGATTCACCTGTGCAGGCCTTATTAAGTGGGATTTCAGCTGTTCTTGTGCATTAGGAGCTATTGACAGATGCTGCCCATTCTTTCAAAGGAAAAGAGGAAGAGGTGGAAACTTTCTCAGATATGAATATAGTCTCTAGGATGTAGGCAAAGGACACCTGGGGTTTGCAGTATCCTGCCCACCCCCCTGCCCAAACCAGGATCTTTCTACCTACCTGTGTGAAAGACCCTGATGACTTAATATAACATTATGTATTGTTTTAAAATGTAAATGTTACTTATAAGCAGCCTTGGGAGGCTTTGTACCCTGAAAGGCAAAATATAAATACAGTTGTTACCTTGGTTTTCAAACAGCTTAGTTCTCGAAAGTTTTGGCTCCCAAACGCCGCAAACCCGGAAGTGACAGTTCCAGTTTGCAAACTATTTTTGGAAGCCGAACGTCCGACGGGGCTTCCACAGCTTCTGACTGGCTGCAGCCAATGAGAAGCCGTGCTTTGGGTTCCGAACGTTTTGGAAGTTGAGTGGACTTCTGGAACGGATTCCATTCGACTTCCAAGGTATGGCTGTAACTGTAATAAGTAATACTACATGGGTGTTGTTGTTCTTTAGTCGTTTAGTCGTGTCCTACTCTTCATGACCCCATGGACCAGAGCACGCCAGGCACTCCATGGGTAGGAAGCTGTTAGAAGAGTACCAACAACAAAGATCCTTGTGACATAAATTCAGCATAGCATAAATTCCCATGGAGTCACCTGCTTTGTCAGACGGATGAGAAAGATCAGGTTCACCATACCTCCTGCAATGCAGGAATCTCAACTAAAGCATTCATGACAGATGGCTACCCAACCTCTGCTTAAAAGCTGTGTTCGAAATTAGCCAGGTGCATTTTGCACCTGGCTACAAACCATTTGCGACCAAGTAAAGGTGCCTTGGCCTCAGGACAGTGCTTGACATCTCCACCATCTGGAGGTGTAAGCCTGGGGATCATTGGATCTTTACTGTTTCCACACACTAATAACACATCCTGTAGGATCCTATCAGTTATATTTTATCTGCACAATTGGAATGAATTTCAGGAACCAAATGCTTTTTCTGTGCAGCCTGAGTAGGAGCAGTCACCATTAAGAAAAATAGGTCAGAATAGGCCAATATATATATGTGGCCTGTCCCTGGATCAAGCCACTTTTCTTCTTTAAGTTCTCAGAGCTCTTATCCTAGCTCAAGGTTGTCATCTGAACCAGCCAGATGTTTAATTGATGATCAATCACAGTCAGTTCACCCTTTGAAAAATAAGACTTTAGAGCAGTCTTACCCAAAATGGCAACAAAGCATTCCATTTGGGCAGCTGTAATCTTGCTTTTTAGTGGGACGCGGGTGGCACTGTGGTCTAACCCACTAAGCCTCTTTGGCTTGCCGATCAGAAGGTCGGCGGTTCGAATCCCCGCGACGGGGTGAGCTCCCGTTGCTCAGTCCCAGCTCCTGCCAACCTAGCAGTTTGAAAGCACGCCAAAAAGTGCAAGTAGATAAATAGGTACCGCACTGGTGAGAAGGTAAACGGCGTTTCCGTGCGCTGCTCTGGTTTCGGTGTTCCATTGTGCCAGAATGCTGGCCACATGACCCGGAAAAACTGTCTGCGGACAAACGCCGGCTCCCTCAGCCTGTAAAGCGAGATGAGTGCCGCAACCCCAGAGTCGTCTACGACTGGACTTAACTGTCAGGGGTCCTTAACCTTTAATCTTGCTTTAAGGAGCCATTTGGCGCCTAGCTTATATTATCTGAGTCCCTAACACTGCTTAAAAGCCTCCCATGAATGTGATCTTCAGGCTGGAAGAAGGTTCTCCACCCTTGCCTGCAGCTGACAGAGGAAATCTACTGGCCAAATCTTTGGCTGTAGGTCTGTAGCCAGCAACACATACAGGGTATTACGACTGGAAGAAATGGAGCATTTGCATGGGGCCAGCTGTCTGGTAAAGGAGCACAGGAGGGCAGATTTAAACACATGTGCGCAGCAGACACACACAGAACCCCTGGGAGAATTTGCCATGCCCCCACAGCCCAGCCGGCATACTTACTATATATCCCCAGTCTCCATTATCCATCTGTTCCAATGCGCGAGCTGCGTGAGCCTGGATTTATTGGAAGTCTTTTGAAAGTTTATGCAATTCACGGCTTATTCCTCCCTGGTGGGGGTGGGAGAGAGGAAAAAAGCAGAGCAGATTGTGAGCACTTTCAAGATGGAGAAGAGCAAGAACAAGCGAGCGGTGTTTCTACCCCTTCAAAAGGCAGGCTCTTTGCCTGCGCCTCCGATTCCAGCTACAAAGAAACTCAAGGACAATCACCTGCAAAATAAAATTACCTTCCCGCCACTGACCTTCTTGCATCCTTTGCAGGTGTAGAGAGCCGCTGAGCCTCGCAGGGGGAAAAAAGATAATCATTACGCAGCCGCCTGAGTTAAAATAATGAGCACTTCGTCTCTGAAGGTGATCCACACTTTTAAAAAATGGTCCGCATATTTTATCTGGGAGAAAGGAGACGGTTTTCAAAGGTTGCCCTATACAAACATATGCCAAGGGAATCCTTCGCTCTGGACATGTGAATCAATGACATGGATGTACCTCAAAATCCACCTGCCCCAAGCTTGGGTCTCCAGCTGTTTTTGGACTACAACTCCCATCATCCCTAGCTAGCAGGACCAGGGGGTCAGGGATGATGGGAATTGTAGACCAAAACCATTTGGAGACCCATGTTTGGGAAACCCTGATCTAGATGTTTTGGACTACAACAACCATCATGCCCAGCCAGCACGGACAATGGTCAGGGATTGAAGGGAGGCAACCCAGCCAGATGGCCAGGGTATAAATAATAAAATTATTATTATGTAAGTCCAGCAACATCTGAAAGGTTCCAGGATGGGGGAGGGTTTGCCATTAACCCATGTGTGTCCTGTACAGGAGCTCATCAAAGTAAGGAAACTGGAAATGAGCCAACACTGAAAATCAAACAGCAATAGCCACAGCCATGGACTAGACACAAAACAACACATAACCATTAGCCAATAAGCTTCAAAAACTTTTATTATTTATTACCACCCAGACTTCGCCAGCAGGTCCCAGGGCCGATTACAACCATTAAGAAAGGAGAATTAAAAAGTTAAAACATAAATTATGTTCACAATAACAGGGTGAGGTGCTGAAAACACATCTCAGGTGTCAGAGGCCAGGATAAAGTCTTCAGCATTCTCCAAAAGCTGTACAGTGGTACCCCGGCTTCAGGTTACATACGCTTCAGGTTACAGACTCCGCTAACCCAGAAATAGTACGTTGGGTTAAGAACTTTACCTCAGGATGAGAACGGAAATCGTGTGCCGGAGGCGCGGCAGGAGGCCCCATTAGCTAAAGTGGTGCTTCAGGTTAAGAACAGTTTCAGGTTAAGAATGGACCTCCAGAACGAATTAAGTTCTTAACCCGAGGTACCACTGTACAGTGAAGAAGCCAGACACACTGCCATGGGAAGGGGCCTTCCGCAACTTAGGGGCTGCCACAGAAAATGCCCACTTGCTAAGCCACCTACCCACACAGTTTCTGAGGGTGGTGGAACAACCATGAGGGCCTCCTTTGCTGATCTTAACACACAGCCCAGGCTTTGTATTTGGGGCAAATTGATAGTCCCCACTCCCACCGATTTGGCATTAAAAACATTTTTTTCAATCTGATCTCTTCCTACTCTCTAGTCATGCAGCAAAGATTAAAAAAAACACACCACAACAATACCACGGTTTTGTCCTTGGAGCCTTTCGTAACTATGGGGAGCTCAGAACCGGAAAAGCATTTGCTCTTCAGCTTCAATGGACGGCAAACTGGGATCCTTGCAAGTGCTGTGGAAGAATGCGGCTTCCAGTACAATTGCTCTCAGCTTCTTTGCAAGGTCTGTGATCTCACAGGAACGGCTAACTACAAACCGGTCCAAACGGCGACCCACATTTCCACAGGCAAATGTGAACTCTCCACGGTAAAAACAAAACAAAACAAAACAATGCAAGGCTTGGCTTGGCTGAAAACAGCAGGACTGCTGCCGCCCTCTGCAAAAACCCATCTCGTTAGTTGGAACAATATTTCTTTCCAGCTTTGAAATAACTGGCTCACCATTCTTTCATAGGCAGATAGGTTTGGGGGGGAGGGCAGAGAGAGAGAGAGAAAATGGAAGCAGCTAAAATAGGGGCAGTTGACCATTTTCGGCCAGAGGAGCACATACAAAACACACACAATACACTCTCCTCTAGAGAATCTGTGTGAATCAGTTAAGAGAAAAGTACCGTATTTTTCGTTCTATAGGACGCACATTTCCCCCTCCAAAAACTAAGGGGAAATGTATGTGCGTCCTATAGAGCGAATGCAGGCTGCGCCGCTAAGCCCAAAGCCAGAACAGGAAGACGGAGCACTGCGGAGCGCTCCGTCTCGCTGTTCTGGCTTGGGAACAGCCTTGCTAGCTTCTGTTCCCAAGCCAGAACAGCGAGACGGAGGGCTCCGTCTCGCTGCTCTAGCTTGGGGAGGGCTGCGCGCAAACCTCTGCAGGGCAGCGGGGTGCCTTCACCCTGCTGTCCTGCAGAAGCTAGCAAGGCTGTTCCCAAGCCAGAACAGCGAGACGGAGGGCTCCGTCTCGCTGCTCTAGCTTGGGGAGGGCTGCGCGCAAACCTCTGCAGGGCAGCAGGGTGCCTTCACCCCGCTGTCCTGCAGAAGCTAGCACGGCTCTTCCCAAGCCAGAACAGCGAGACGGAGGGCTCCGTCTCGCTGCTCTAGCTTAGGGAGGGCTGCGCGCAAACCTCTGCAGGGCAGCGGGGTGCCTTCACCCCGCTGTCCTGCAGAAGCTAGCCCGGCGGTTCCCCAGCCAGAACAGCGAGACGGAGGGCTCCGTCTGGCTGCTCTAGCTTAGGGACGGCTGCGCGCAAACCTCTGCAGGGCAGCGGGGTGCCTTCACCCCGCTGTCCTGCAGAAGCTAGCAAGGCTGTTCCCAAGCCAGAACAGCGAGACGGAGGGCTCCGTCTCACTGCTCTAGCTTGGGGACGGCTGCGCGCAAACCTCTGCAGGGCAGCGGGGTGCCTTCACCCCGCTGTCCTGCAGAAGCTAGCAAGGTTGTTCCCAAGCCAGAACAGCGAGACGGAGGGCTCCGTTTCACTGCTCTAGCTTGGGGACGGCTGCGCGCAAACCTGTGCAGGGCAGCGGGGCGCTGCGCTCCAAAGGCTTCAAGGATCTTTGAGGCTGGCGGTGGGGGAAAGCAGCGCTTCCCCCCACCGCCAGCCCCACAAGCGCTGGTGAATGTACCTTGAACGCACCTTGTTTTGGAGGGGGAGAACAAGAAAAAAAATCTTTTTCCCTGTTCTCCCCCTCCTATGATCCGGTGCGTCCTATGGTCCGGTGCGTCCAATGGAGCGAAAAATACGGTAATTGGCCCCTCTCTACTCATCAAACGATTGATCTGATGACTGGTGATTTGCATACACATCACAGCACTGTATCTACTTTTAACCACCACCCCTTTCTTTTTCTGCTGCCACCCATATTGGGGATGCTAAGGAAGACCAGAAAATAAATGTTTGGAAGGAGGGGGGGTGTCCAGATCAGGCCGGGGCTAAGCCACCCCAAGCTAAGACTAACATCGCAAAATGGCATTCCGGCGCAGTAGCTTTGCCCACAATCTGTGTGTCATATTCAAATCAGACCATGCCATTGGTCGTACCTACATAGGACTGAAAACACGCAGAAGTTGTGTCAACATCAGAAAATGTTTATTTTATTTATTTAACAAAACACGTACAGTGGTACCTTGGGTTACATTCGCTTCAGGTTACATACGCTTCAGGTTACAGACTCCGCTAACCCAGAAATAGTACCTCGGGTTAAGAACTTTGCTTCAGGATGAGAACAGAAATCGTGTTGCGGTGGCGCGGTGGCAGCAGGAGCCCCCATTAGCTAAAGTGGTGCTTCAGGTTAAGAACAGTTTCAGGTTAAGAACGGACCTCCGGAACAAATAAAGTACTTAACCCAAGGTACCACTGTATACCACTTCACCATAAATAAAACCTCTAAGTGGTTGGCTGTTTTTATATCCTATCTAGGCTTGGTAGGCTTGCCTAAAGAAAAAGGTTTTCAGTAGTACAGTCGTATCTTGGAAGTCTAACGGAATCCGTTCCGGAAGTCCATTCGACTTCCAAAACGTTCGGAAACCAAGGCGCGGCTTCTGATTGGCTGCTGGAAGGTCCTGCAGCCAATCAGAACCTGTGGAAACCACGTCGGACATCCGGGTTCCAAAGAACGCTCGCAAACTGGAACAATCACTTCCAGCTTTGCAGTCTTTGGGAGCCAAAACGTTTGAGTCGTAAGGCGTTCATCAACCAAGGTACAACTGTGTAGTGAAGACAACTGACTGATGTCAACTCCTTGATTAATTTGTCACAGCCAGACTCTCCTCTAGATTTGGGAATTGAGTTCTCCAGTCTGTTAACCAGGCAAGTGCAGATGCCTTGGTTCCTCAGTTCCTTACAAGAGCTCTGAGGCTTAAGCAACACACGGACTCCCAACCCTGTGTGACTGAGAACCCGGACCATGCAACGTTGCATATTATAAGATCACCTGGTATGTACAGAGAGGGGCTCCCAGCTGCATCCATACCTTCAGACCTGAGAGCAACTGTTTTTTAGAAAGCTAAAGGGGGAGCAAACATGAGGGTGTGGAGCTAATGGATTTCACAGAGAGATCTCCATCTTCGCCCACCGTAATCCAAGCACCTTGTCTTTAAAGTCAACCAGTACTTGTAAGAATCTATTATTCCTCTTTTTCCCACTAAGACCTCACGTTGAGAAGGGGGTGGAGGGAGGAAACAGCTTGAAGGTTTAAGCAAGCTTTTTATCCAAAGCCATGTTTTCTGAGGTCCGTATAGTTCCGTATAGTTAAAGCCATGGTTTTCCTAGTAGTGATGTATGGAAGTGAGAGCTGGACCATAAAGAAGGCTGATCGCCGAAGAATTGATGCTTTTGAATTATGGTGCTGGAGGAGACTCTTGAGAGTCCCATGGACTGCAAGAAGATCAGACCTATCCATTCTTAGGGAAATCAACTCTGAGTGCTCACTGGAAGGACAGATCCTGAATCTGAGGCTCCAATACTTTGGCCACCTCATGAGAAGAGAAGACTCCCTGGAAAAGACCCTGATGTTGGGAAAGATGGAGGGCACAAGGAGAAGGGGACGACAGAGGACGAGATGGTTAGACAGTGTTCTCGAAGCTACCAGCATGAGTTTGACCAAACTGCGGGAGGCAGTGGAAGACTGGCGTTCTCTGGTCCATGGGGTCACGAAGAGTCGGACACGACTAAACGACGTTTTCTCAGAACACAGCTTATGGCGAAACCATCAACTGTGGGAAACAAAACTGAAAGTTTTTGATGAATTCACTGTAGGTGAAAGTTTACTGCGGGCAAGAGGGGGAGATAAATAACTATCCCATTGGAAATTAACCACAGTCAGATGTTGCGGGCATTTTTCTCCAGTCTCCGAAGCGCAGTGACACCCAATGGATGTCCGTCTCTTGCTTTGAGAAAGGAAGAGTAGTAAGTCAATTGGCATCAACCAGCTCAGCTTTTGCGACCAATTTCCATTCCCTTTATTGACCCCGTAGGCCTTAAAAGATGCCTAAATCACTGCTCTTTGCAGGGGAAGGAAGATTTACATCTTCTTGTCTCCTCCACAGGCAAAAGAGACAGCATTTGATCGCCAGCCTGCTGCGTAGTGCCAGAATGAATAATTTATCAAAGCAATTAGTTCAGGCAAGCCTCTTCCCATCCGTTTGCACGGGCAAAAAGGAGGCGCAGACAGCAGATGCCTCACTGATTTGGTTTCCAGGACCGCTAACAATCTAGAAATCTGGTTAGAAAACATTAACACTTCAAGGAAGGAACAAAGTTATACACAGTGACAGACTATCTCAAGCAGTTAGAACATCACCTTTTCTTTTTTTAAACAAGCTGACTCCATCAAACAACTTTAGCCTGGAAACTGTAGGGCTGTATTTCGATGGAACCACAAAACACGCACCCTGATTTATTTCATGCGCCCGAGCGCATAAGCTTTCTGGGGGCAACAATAGGAGGCTCGGCCATTGTCCTCCACGTTTCCTTGCAAGAAATAACAGGATGGCAATTCCCAGGGCAGAAGAGCAGGAACAGAGAAGCTGGTGCAAACTGGGGGAATATTACGCCACGCACAAAACTCAGAAGCAAAGTGAGCGTCCCAAGCGTGGCTGGAAAGATCTCAGGTGCCTCAAAAAGCAACGCTGTGGCACCTAAAACATTATTTGACATCTTTCCCTACCCATGTCCAGGTTTGGTTTCATAGATGCTGATGCTGGATCCTGTTTTATTTATTTTTTAATTGCAACTAGAGATCATTTTTCCTGCTCTGACCATGGCAGCACCTTCGGTCGCCCCACCAACCTGCACAGCTCTTCAACTAGGTTCATTTTTTAAAATGCTGATGACCAGATGTTATATGTTCTATAGCAGGGATGTCCAACCTGTCGACCGCGATGAACAGGTTCTCGGGCTCCCTCTCAATCGGCGCTGGTGATAAGCAAGTCTGCGAGTGAAAGCCCCCGCCCCCCCGGCCGCGGCTCTGTTCCCCCCAAAAGGTCAAGAACTTTCATCTTTCCCCTCTCTCCCTAAAAAAAGCTCAACAACCTTGGCTTGGTCCCCCCTAAAAAAAGGTGAAACAACTTTGGCTTCCCACCCCCTTCATGGGTAGATCACTTCCAGAATTTTTATACTGGGAGTAGATCACAGTCTCTTGTGTGTTGGACATGCCTGTTCTATAGAAATGGCTTGTTATTATTATTAGTAGTAGTACTGTTTTTATTTTACTATTTTCAGAAAGTTGTGCTCACTTTGCTCAGTGGGCAAAATAAGATTATCCAGGAACAGGATGAATATCTACTACTTCTTTTTTTTTTTTTAACTACCCCTAACAGCAACCCTGAAAACAAAGCCACAAAACCGGGATGGGGGGGCGGGTCACTGCCTTCCTTCCCCAGGATCAAATGTTTCTCCTGCTTCCCAAGGGGTCCACCAATTTTGATGGCAGCGGGTGAGGGGCGAGAAATGTAAATCAAGCACAGTGCTAAGGGTACAAATCGTCCTCTTCCTGATCATCGGATTGATTATCTGATGCGAGAGAACGATGACCCCACAGATCTATGCAGATCAGCTGGGAGGGGGCAGACGAACTGTGTGCTTTTGTGCACGACGGCGTATGGAGGACCAGCTATTTGCAATGCACAGATGGCCTGAAATTGGGGGGGGGGGGGAGGAGAGAGAGAGCATGTAGATTCTGAGCAGCCTGAATCTGGCATTACAAGCCCGCCAAGCAAGTATCCCACCCTGGACACAGGACGCTGTAGAGGTGCACGCAGAAAACTGCAAGCATGGAAATTGCCATGGGGGAAAAAGCCCTACTGCTCCCCAAAGCAACCAGCGTACCTATACCGAACCCTAAAAGGAAGGAGGGAAGATGAGTCCTGGAAGATGGAAATAAGGCTGGTCAATCCTGACCAGCTGTCGACTAAATAATTTTAAGCTCGCGTCTAGAAATCTGAGCTGGTGCTTCGCTTTGTTTTCAAAGGGAAAGGTTGGAGGATACATGGGTAAGCTTAGCAATGGTGTTATGCCTCTGCAACGATCCCCTAAAGTGATACCTATGTGGTTTTCATTACATAAGGCCCAGCTTGTGTAAATGTCAGCTAATGATTCACACGCCGCTGCAAAAGCTTTCGACAGGATAAAAAAGAATGAAAACAGAATTAGAGTGATCAGTTCTGTTAGTTACAGAGATAGAGCACAGCATTATACTGAGTCAAACCACTGGTCCACCCAGCCCAGGGGTAGGGAACCTGTGGCCTTCCGGGTGTATCATCAACCTCTGAGAGTTGCAGTTCAGCAACATCCAGCTCACGGTCTTTTACCTAAGATCCTTTTAACTGGTGGCACCAGAGGCTGAGCCTAAGAAAAAGTCATGTGTCCTAACACTGTGTGTGTGTGCTGCTCCCAAATTATTGCAACTGGCTGATGTTCTACCCATGTGAACAACTACTCAGAGGTAAAGGTAAAGGGACCCCTGACCATTAGGTCCAGTCGCGGACGACTCTGGGGTTGCGGTGCTCATCTCGCTTTATTGGCCAAGGGAGCCGGCGTACAGCTTCCGGGTCACGTGGCCAGCATGACGAAGCCGCTTCTGGTGAACCAGAACAGCGCAGGGAAACGCTGTTTACCTTTCCGCCGGAGCGGTACCTATTTATCTACTTGCACTTGGATGTGCTTTTGAACTGCTAGGTTGGCAGGAGCTGGGACTGAGCAACGGGAGCTTACCCCGTCGCGAGGATTTGAACCGCCGACCTTCTGATCGGCAAGCCCTAGGCTCTGTGGTTTAACCCACAGCGCCACCCGCGTCCCACTCAGAGGTACCATGGCTTTTTAAAACCTTGAAGATTTTACAGACAATACAAAAATTGGAATTTGAAAGGGCTTTTAAAAAAAATTAACTAAAAAGGAGGCTGTAATTTTCCTTGCACAACTCCATGCTGTCAGTCTTTCAAGCTGTTTGCAGAATGACAATTGCATCCCATTATACTAAGATCCCTGCCTCTGGCACCAAGATATTTTATATATGTAACAGATGGAGTATGTGTCCCAGCTCCAAGGAGAACTACAGCGGCATTTCTGCTGAATCTCCCTGTCTGAAACATGTAAAGAATTGGGCATGAGCATTTTTGTTTTTAAAAAGGAAAGGAAAGGAAAATGTTCAGAAAAATTAGAGTTACAAAGGAACCTAGGCAGCATAAGAAGTCAGAAAGCATTTAAAATACAGCAACAAAATGATACCAATTAATGAGCGGTCTTTAAATGCAAGTTTTTCAATGACCCACCTCTTGGCTATTTAGAACTACAGTACAGCCTCCACTTACTATCATAATCCGTTCCGGAGGCCTGTCTGCTGGGCAAAACCGGATGCCACTAGAGGCGCCGTTGTGCGTGTGCGCATTCTTCGGCGGCGGTTCACTTCTGTGCATGTGTAGAAGCGGCAGCGACTTGTGCACATGCGCAGATGGCAGAAGCCGCTTCCGCGCATGTATGAATCGCGGCAAACCCAGTGTTTACTTCTGGGTTTGCCGCGGTCGCAACTTGGAACGTCCGTGAGAAGAGGCGGATGTAGGTCGAGGTTCCACTGTACTCTAGTATTGATTATTTTTAAGCACATGCCCTCAATTTGTTTACCTAACCCCCTTTATGGTGATAACTGCTGTACTACAATCTCATCCCGTTTCAGACTGATGGGCTGCGTTGGTGTTTTCACAAAGAAGCTGGAAGGGTAGCTACTTTCCCTGCACGGTTTTCTCCCTTCTGTCGCAGGCTGAACATCAGTTAGGGCTGGTTTTCAACATTATATCATCACCAGCTAAACATCGCGATATACTGATATATCACAATGTCTGAAATAAGGATGGAGCTATGTAGAGGCATTGGCTGGCTTCATGCTTTTTCCCACATTGTGATTTTTTTCATAGTGTACACCCACACAAACAAAATTCACAATATGTTGCTATGTCAAAAACTATGAAACCGACATCACAATATGGACTTTGAACAGGTTATATCGATATATTGCCCTGTCCTACTGAGTATGTGGGCAGGGTTCAGATATTACTCTAGTGGTATTCAGCTAAGTTTTACTCATTACTGAAAGTAATGAACCTAGCTTAGACATGGCGGACGATGATGATTAGAATTTATATACCTCCCTAACCCTGCAGGATGCTTTAGCTGAGATTCCTGCATTGCAGGGGGTTGAACTAGATGACCCTTGGGTCCCTTCCAAACTGAAGATTCTATTACTGTGGTACCTTGGGTTAAGTACTTAATTCGTTCCGGAGGTCTGTTCTTAACCTGAAACTGTTCTTAATCTGAAGCACCACTTTAGCTAATGGGGCCTCCCGCTGCCACCGCGCTGCCGGAGCACGATTTCTGTTCTCATCCTGAAGCAAAGTTCTTAACCCGAGGTACTATTTCTGGTTTAGTAACCTGGTCTGTAACCTGAAGCATATGTAACTTGAAACATATGTAACCCGAGGTACCACTGTATTCTATGTTCATTAACTTCAGTGCAATCCTATACTTACCCAGGACTTACTTCCTGCTAAATGTGTACAGTCTTGCACTGCAAGTGGGTTTTACCCTGTTCCACAAGGGTTCTTTAAAAACAAAAGCCACATTCCCATCTACCCACCAAAACAGGGAAAGCTTGAAATGTTCAGAATTCCAGACTCAGGCCATATGCTGGCATTTGCATCATGATACTACTATGGAGACCAGGAGTTGGCAAACTTTTTCAGCGGCAGGCCGGATCGCCTGCACGCAGGAGCGCGTGGGCACACTCATGGGAGCGCGCACACTCGTGCGCATGTGCACATGCCCACTGGCTTTTGGAGCCATGGCGGGGGAGGAGGCGGTGTCTGCGGCTTCCTATTGGCTGCAGGAGCTTCCTGCAGCCAATAGGAAGCCGTGGCTGCGCACCACGCCAGTTTAGCTCTGCGCGGGGGCTGACCGAGTGGACGGCAAGGGCCAGGGGCCGGTTTAACGACCCCCTCAGGCCGTATCCAGCCCGCGGACCGTAGTTTGCCAACCCCTGATGTAGACCATCCAAAGACTCTAATGAACGGAGGATGAGAAGCTGCAGTGTTCTGTGGACGGTGCCTTGCCCCTCCCAAATGCTATGGGGTCTGATTTACTAGCCATTGCAGTCTACCGCGGCTAAGCCAACACGGTGCCTTCAAGATGTCTTTGGACTCTAACTCCCAACAGCCCCTGTCAGCTTGGACAATGGTCAGGGATGATGCAAGCTGTAGTCCACCTGGAGGATGCCACTTTGATTACCCCAAATATATAAATAGGTAGAACTAATTTGGTGACAGGTATCTGTCCATCACAACATATATGGACACACTCTTAACATGAGTCAACAGTGTGATAGATTAGCAAAAATAAGCTAATGCTATTCTAGGCTGCATCAAGAGAAGTCTAGTGTCCCGATCAAGGGAAGTCATAGTGTCGCTCTATTCTGCCTTGGTCAGACCACACTTGGGAGTATTGTGTCCAGTTCTGGGCAGCACAATTTAAGGAGGATTCTGACAAACTGGAACATGTGAAGAGGAAGGCAACCAAGATGATCAAGGGTCTGGAAACCAGGCCTTATGAGGAACGGTTGAAGGAGCTGGGTACGTTTAGCCTGAAAAAGAGGAAACTGAGAGGACATGTGCTAACCACCTTCAAATATCTAAGGGCTGTCACATGGAGGATGGAGCAAGCTTGTTTTTTTTCCTGCTCCGGAAGTTGGGACCCAAACCAATCGATTCAAGTACAAGAAAGGAGATTTTGACTAAACATCAGGAAGAGCTTTCTAACAGTAAGAGTTGTCTGACAGTGGAACTGTCTCCCTCTGGAGGTGGTGGACTCTCCTTCCTTGGAGGTTTTTAAGCAGAGGTTGGATGGCCACCTGTCATGTATGATCTAGTTGAGATTCCTGCATTTCAAGGGCTTGGACTAGATGTCCCTCGGGGTCCCTTCCAACTCTGCAATTCTATGAATCAATGAATATCCTACTACAGAGCAAGCAGGGCTGCAAAGCTGATAATTTGGCTAATGAAGACAAAGACAGAGGGAGCCCCCTTAGTTAAGCAGGACCTAGAATAACTATTTGATGAAACAGCAATCTCCAGCCAATTCAATCCACATCTATTAACTAAAGTAGACATCCCCAAACTCGGCCATCCAGATGTTTTGGGACTACAACTCCCATCATCCCTAGCTAACAGGACCAGTGGTCAGCAATGATGAGAATTGTAGTCCCAAAATATCTGGAGGGCCGAGTTTGCCCATGCCTGACCTAGAACATTTACAGCTTAGAAGGAAAGTACCAGGATCTTGAACTGGACTGCAGGAAAATGTCATGTATGATCTAGCTGAGATTCCTGCATTGCGACACAGTTTGTTTTTACCTCTGAAAGCATTTGCTACTCACCTGGTTCCCAAAGATCAGCTTTCCATTCTTGCTAGCATTTCTTTGATATACCCCTTAACCCTTCATCAGGACATACCCTCCAAATTCTGATGGCAGAGCTACTTGAAGAGCGTCCAGCAACAGAACCCACTAACCTAATACTTTCTATTCCTGTCACCATGGGAAGTTTGAGCACAACCGACAACAAGATGCAGTGCATCTGCTTTTAACACAGGGAATAAGGCTATCCATGGATACCAGCTAGCCCTGAAGGCTGCATAAAAGCTTCCAGTGTTGAAAGCAGGATGCCTCTGAACAGTTGTTGCTGGTGAGCACAAGTAAAAAGAAAGTGTTGCTGTGCTTATGTCCTTGCAGGGTTCCCATAGGTATCTGGTTGGCCACTGTGAGAACAAGGCGATCAAATTATCAGTTATTTGGCTTATTATAATTCACACACCAGGCTGCCACAGGCCTCAAAATATCTTGGTCTGTTTCTTGACTGGAAGCGGTCTTTTTTGACAGCAGTTCCCCCTGTGGAAATATGTGACCATGTGCAAAACAGACTGACTGGCACAGACTATCATTTGGACTTCTGCTTATACGAAACAATGCATCTGAGCTAGCTAAACCAAATTCCAAGAACCAAAAGTGACATGGTTGCTATAGGTTATAATCCAGGAAGACCTGATTTGGTTAAAGTTGGTGCACATGTTGATTATTTCACTAACAGCAGAAGGGCACTGCACAATTACAGAAAAGAAAGTGAAAGATATATACAGTAGAACAGTATTTTCAGCCCTGGATTGTGGGTGGATTGCTGGCAAGGATGAAAACACATTGTGCCGGAACCAGCAAAAGACCAAACAAGAAACCCTATTAAAAATTCTTTCCCAGCCTTCAGTCTAAATAAGGATCCTCTTCACCTTCATTTCCAAACGCTACTACCTTCAGAAGGGGAAAGCCATAGAGCCACAACACAGAGAGGTTCTTACTCAGGTACCCCAATGGGCTTGCAGAATCATCCTATTGAATTTAAAAAACGAAAACAGCACAGGGACCTTTCTTCAACACATGCTTTCCTCCACCTTTCAGGGGAATAACCCCACCAAAAAACAGAGGTCCTGGCTATGCTTCAAACTGTCACACATAATACCAAGAATGCCATCTTCCTACAGAAACTACAGAAGGATCCAAGAATCCTGGCAGCACACACATGAAAACAAAAAACAGGTAATTCTGGAAATCATCCATCCTTCAAAGCCAACACACACAGAGAGAACTTTAGGTATTTTGCACTCTAATCCCAAGCATGTTTTGCTCAGTGGGACTAATTTCCCGGTAAGTGTAATTAGGATTGCAGCCTTAATGACATAATTCACATGCGCCTGCAAAAACAAAAAAAACCCGAAATAAAACAAAGTCCAATATCCAGACTCTGTACCATGAGATCGCTAACACAGAAAAGTATGCCCATGTTACCCATTAGCATGTACTGTACTGCAATAGCCAAGAGGATCACTCTTTAACCGCCGTTCCCATGAGGAGGACTGTGTAATATTTATGTGGTAGCTGCCCAATGTCGAATGATCCAGTATGGCTCTTCGGACACATCCTGATTACTCCCTTAATAAGAAGCCAGGCATCCTGACAAATTTCTAAACACACACACACACACACACACACCAGGTGTCCTGTTTTCACTCTCCTTTCCCTCCTGAAAAGGGACCCTGCCTCCTCTCCTAAAAAGGGACCCAGGCGTCCTGCCTGCCTCTTCTCCTGAAAAGGGACCCAGGTGTCCTGTTTTCACTCATCTTTCCCTCCTGAAAAGGGACCCTGCCTCCTCTCCTAAAAAGGGACCCAGGCGTCCTGCCTGCCTCTTCTCCTGAAAAGGGACCCAGGTGTCCTGTTTTCACTCATCTTTCCCTCCTGAAAAGGGACCCTGCCTCCTCTCCTAAAAAGGGACCCAGGCGTCCTGCCTGCCTCTTCTCCTGAAAAGGGACCCAGGTGTCCTGTTTTCACTCATCTTTCCCTCCTGAAAAGGGACCCTGCCGCATCTCCTGAAAAGGGACCCAGGCATCCTTCCAGTTTACATATCCTGCTGCTGCTCCTCTCCTGAACAGGAACCCAGGAGTCCGGGCTGCATCGCCCACCGCTTCTTTGTAAGAAGCCCGGGCGTTCCGGTCTCCCTCCCTCCTCCCCTTCGCCGCCTCCGCCGCCGCGACGAGGAAGCCAGGCGTCCCGAGGGTGCAACAACCGCGGCGCAGCCGTCCACTGGGCAGCCCTCCTGGAGGTGTCCCCCCGCCGGCGCCTTCCCGCCATTTTATGATGCCCCGACCTCCGCCGCTACTCACTCGCGAACAGGCGCGCCTCGGGGAAGCTCCCTCCGTCTCTCGGCTTGTCGCGCGCGCTCTGCGCTGCTCCCGGGCCGGCGGCGTCGCTGGCTCCTCCCCGGCGCCGGCGCCGCCTGCTCCTCCTGCAGGGCCTGCCTTGCTCCGCGAGGCTTCGTGCAAGGGGCGGGGAGAAGCCTTCCTAAGGGAAGGGCCGGAGATCAAAAGGAGGAGCGGAGCCTGGTGAGGCCTAGGCTGGAGGAGAGTCAGTCTCTCCGAAGCCAGCCAAGAGCAAATTATCCCCGTCCTCCCAAGCCTACTGATTCGGATGCAAGTCCCGCCCAGTTCAGTGCATGCATGGAGGACTGGGGCTGTAGAGATGAAGAAAGTGCCGTTATGATTATTATTATTATTACTACTACTATTGTTGTTGATGCTATATATTTATTTATATCCAGTGCTTTTTAATAAAAAAAAAAGGCGCTGGTACTCCCACGCTTTTAACATCTGAGTGCTAGTATTGCATATCCTTGAGTACCCCCAGAAAAAAGCGCTTTTATTACCCTGCTCTGATCCTAAACCTCGGCTGCCGCCTTGCAGGATATAGTACTTTGTAATAATTTTGTTATTTGTACCCCACCCATATGACTGGGTTGCCCAGATGGCTTCTTCGGGAGAGGAAAAGGCTAAGGAGTAAATCTGGAATTGGATGGCGCCTTGTACACTCCAGCGACTCCTGATGCCGAGCTGGTGCCAAATGTATTGCTCTTCTTTGCTTTGGACCACATCAGTGTGGCCAAGAAGGGGGTCTTTTTCTGGGCAGCCCAGGACCTCCATACACACTGCCCAGGCTTGAACCCCAGGGAGGTCACTTTGGTGTTGCTAAAGCAGTGGTTTGAATCCACGCACCCCAGAGATGGATGTTAACAACAAATTATACCTGGCCTGCCCCCCCAGCTTGCAAAAAAAGGGAAAAACAATTAAAAAAAACCTGAACAATGATGGAATTAAAATTATATACCTTTACAAAATTATTAAAGCCATACCAAGAATTATAGAAAAGCAGCACGGCACCAGCCCCTTCATTAAAAGCAGTCAGTTTCCTAAGGTCTATTGGATCAAGAAAGTATTCACCTGCAGGCAGAAGGACAAGGAGGGAGCCAGTCTTAACTTCTAAACCCTTCATTCATCTGGCTCATCCTTCACATTTTTGAGAATAAGTATCTTTGATAGGGCTGCTCATAAATGCTTGAATAGACAATGCAAAGGTTGGGAACCTTTAGCACTCCAGATATTTGCTGAACTACAACTCCCATCAACCCCAGGAAGCTAGGGCAATGGGCAAGGATGGTGTGAGCTGTAGTTCAGCAGCATTCTGGTGGGCATCCGTCAGTCTTGGATTGACGATGGAGGAGTGCACCTTTGGGGGTAAAGAGAGTTACAGCGCCTCCTGTGGCTGTAGAGACCAGTACAGCAGAGACATGTTGTGTTGCAGGTGGGGCAGATGAAGGTGTCCGGTTGTGCTGTTGCAGGTGTACCATGGTGTTTCTGTGCTCCCAGCGGTCATTCCTCTTCTGGTCACGGCTGGTCAGCAACATTGTTGTTGATTTCTTAAACAGAGGGCCAAAGATTCCCCACCTTTGGGCCACTGATTTAAGCCTAAGGCTGAAATTCTACTCAGGGAGTAGGCTCACCCTCTGAGTAGATGCATATATGATTGCACAGCAAGGCCCTGATCTTTAGACATACCCACCTGAACACTTTATCCTGCCCTCCTTCCAAGGAGCTCAGTGCAGTGTACAAGATCCTCTCGCCACCCATTAAGCCCTCAACAATGCTGAGACCTAGCTTGGGCTGAGAGATAAGAGACTGGCCCAATATCACCCACTGAGCTTCAGGCTGAGTAGGAATTTGAAGCTTAGGCCCTCGGGCCCTGATTTGGAATGTTAACCATTTTGTCAAACAGGCTCCACATTGATTTGCAGTAACTCAGATGTAACTTGTAATATACAGTATATTTTTCCACAAGTGGGAGAGATGGAAAGCAGGCCTCATTCAATCAGTTTTGCTGAAAGTCCAGTTCCTTACCCCTGATCTATGCAAGCTTGTCATTATAAAAACAATTACTTAAGGATTGCCTGAGTAAGATTTTCTCTCCTTTATCCCTTTCCCCTTTTGTGTAATGGGGATTTTTTTTATTGGTTATAAGCCTGTGGGCAGGGGCTGCCTTGTTTAAGTTGGTTGTATGTGAGCCACTCTGAGAACCTTTTTATTTATTTTTTTGCTAAGGAATAGGGGACAAATGCTCTAAATAAATAGATAGCTGACTCTGCCACAAATTGGCAAAGTGCCCTGCTCCAATCCAGGGAAAAAAGAAATGGGGAAAAGTAGATCCTACAAGCCTTCAATCTGCCCATGCCTATTTTATGCCACTAGAATGTTACCATTTTCAAATACACAGTGAATGGCATCTATAATTTTAGTTCACGTGTGAGTTTATATTTAGCTAATAACCTCTCCAATAAGGTCATTGCAATTTGCTCTTCAAGTATTGCGTGTTCACAATATGTACAAATTGCACTTGACTATTAGCTGTGCTAATGAGCCCACTTAGAATAATCTAATCATAAAAAACAAAGTGCGAGACTGGCTTCATTATTTTCAGATAATGGAGGCATTTAAATTGGACAAGAAAATTGGCTTCCAGGTGGAAAGATCAAAATTAGAAACCGAACTGTTAGAACCCAAAACCAAGAATTTGTCAAGAATGTATAACTTGCTGCTGAAATGGAACACTCAGGATGAAACGGTAAAATCGGCTATGATTAAATGGGCACAAGACGTTGGACATAACATTATGTTTGTCGACTGGGAACAGTTGTGGACCACAGGTATGAAATTTACGGCATGTAATGCCTTAAGAGAGAATATTATGAAAATGATATACAGGTGGTACATAACCCCAGTCAAGCTTGCAAAAATCTATCACTTGCCCAATAATAAATGTTGGAAATGTAAAGAAATTGAAGGTACATTTTTTCACCTTTGGTGGACGTGCCCAAAGATTAAGGCTTTCTGGGAAATGATATATAATGAATTAAAAAAGGTATTCAAATATACCTTCCCCAAGAAACCAGAGGCCTTTCTCTTGGGCATGGTCAGCCAAATGGTGATAAAAAAGGATAGAACTTTCTTTATGTATGCAACAACAGCAGCAAGAATACTCATTGCAAAGTATTGGAAGACACAAGAACTTCCCACGCTGGAGGAATGGCAGATGAAACTGATGGACTATATGGAACTGGTGGAAATGACTGGTAGAATCCGTGACCAGGGAGAAGAGTCGGTGGAGAAAGATTGGAAGAAATTCAAAGATTATTTACAGAAACACTGCAAAATTAAAGAATGCTAGAGTGATGTTGGATTGAAAATAAGTGGTTTCCAGCTGTACAGGATTTAAAGTTATAGATAGACTAAGATTAAAGATTAGGATCAAAGAAGTTTAAGGAAATGGAAATTTGGTATTTAAGAGGTAAAATTTTAATGCTATATTATATTAAGATTAAAGATTGGGATTAAAAAAGTGGGAGAGAAATTGCTGGACAAACAATTTGAACTGGAATACAAAAGAGGGAGGTATGAGGAGGTCCAGAAAATAAGTAAATTTAAAAACGGAAATGAAAAGGTGATATTGTTTGTAAATGTTCTGTTTCTTTCTTTTTTTTGTTTTTTGTGCTTGTTTCTTTTTTGGATTATGTATTGTGTATTTGTGTATTTCTTTATTATGTTTTTCTGTTTAACTTTCTACTGAAACCTTAATAAAAATCATTTAAAAAAAAAGAATAATCTAATCATTAGCTATTTGCATGCCTTTAAAAAAAGGTATTTCAGCTGCTTTCCTCTTCCTTTCCTTCCCCCTTTCAAGCCAAATTCAAAAGATAAAAATGAAGTCACTACTCCTTTCGACAGCATAATGCAAAATTCTAACATACATTTCCAAGAAAGAAAGAAAGAAAGAAAGAGTGCCAACCAGCCATCCTCAAGATTGACCCACCCATTTATTTAAGCTCATAATAATTTATTGGGTCTCACAGTAAACTCTTATAGAAAAGGGGTTAGGCATTAAGTCCTATGACATGTTTTTCATTCAATTGCTTCAAAACGTAATAACTACATTTTCACTGTCTGAAAGCTGTCTTGTTCTGGCATCTTAACTGGTGTTCAGATTTATCTTTCTGCATAGTCCCACTGTTTTCAAAGGTCCACAGCCCACTCGAATGCATATTTACACAGAAGTAAGTCCCTTGTGTTCAGTTGGAGTTAGTCCCAAATGGCTGTGCACATGATAGCAGCAAGCTTTCTTCTGTGCCTAAAGAGAAACTACTTGAGAATGTGAGGGTGTCACTCTGAACAGACAGCATAAGGTGGTTCCTGGTGTAAGAAGTCACCAAGCAACAGCCCAGCAGAGAGCCTGCCACCACCGGAGAGGCGTTTTGAATTGATAGGTGCATGAATGATCCACCCTGATGTAATGTTAACAGTCTGCAGGATAGTTCTGCTTGGAAACCTATGATAGTTACAAGTATTCGGTTGTTCAAATCTTCTACATTGTTGTTGACTCTTTGTATGGTTGCATTTTTTATTAATGAATAGTCTCTTGTGGATTCCCATGGAACATGCTGTTTTCCCCCATTTGATTCCTTTAATGAGTATTTTGAAAGGTATTTTAAAAATGTGGGGTTTCTGGTTTAGAAAAAAATCAAAGACAGAAAAAGAAGACTTTCCTTACCAGCCTATTTATTTTAATTTTTCTCATGATTTTTCTTGTGGTGTATCAACTGCAGTCCACCTATGCCTCAGAAGATGTGAAACAATGACTGGAATGTGGATTTTGTGCAAATTTCCTGTGTCAGCAGTGTATCTAGTCTCTTGGCTGGTGAACTGGGCTGGTTTGGCTTCTTTAGTAGTTGATGCTGTTTTCTAGCAACACCACTGATTGCCTGAAAATAACCATAGAATGTGGGTTCTGTAGAAATATTGTAATTTAACACATCATTCCCATCTTACTTAGTTGTAATGTTGACCTTGGAAGTAGACACTCCAAAGTGTTTTTCTGGAAAAGTGTTTATTGCCTGGAACAGGTAGTTTATGGGTGTGAGGATGTTAATAAAAGTATAATACAGAGGCCGTTTCAGTTCTGAAATATGTATCATTCTGTCATTCTCAAGTGTAAACCACTCTGATCTTCAGATGAAGGGCAGTACTGTACAGAAATCTCATAAATAATAATACTAAAATGTCTCTAACACATCCAGCTGTCTTACCAAGGGGTTGTTGGGTCTGGTTTTGTTCCGTCCCAGCTTTTGGCTTGTACCCTGTCCCATACAAAGAGCTTGCTGGATCAGACCAAAGGCCCTTCTTCATCCAACACCCTGTTCTTACAGTGACTAACCGGTTGTCTATGGGGAAACCCACAGCAGGACACAAGCACCTTCTCCCACAGCAAATGGTGTTCAGAAGATGCATGTTGCCTCTGACTCTGGTGGCTACAGCTATTGATGACCATATCCTCATTTATCTAATCCCTTAAAGCCACTCAAATTTGTGGCCATCACTACATCTTGTGGTAACCAACGGTGAAGAAATATGTGGCCTTTAGTCTGTTCTGAATCTCTCATAAATCACCCATTCACACACGTATATATAACCTACTTAAATACATGGAAACTACCCCCACTGCAAGGGTCCTTTAATAGGGTCACATCAAAACTTTTGCAGACACAAGCAAGCTGCATCAGTGGAAGAAATTTCAGATACATCAAAGGCTTTCAGGCAGCCACTGTGGTGCAGTGGTTACTAGACCAGGGCTTGGAAGACCAGGATTCAAATCCCTTTTCTCAGCGATGGCCTCGGGCCTGTCACCATCTCTCAACTTAAACTACCTCAAGGGTTCTTGTGAGGATTATTATTATTAATAATTTATATTATTATTTATATTAATTAATTATTTAAAATGGGGAGGGGAAAGAACCATGTACTCTAGCTTGTGCTCCTTGGGAGTAAAGGCGGGATATAAATGTGATAAAGAAACAAGGCTTCTCAGTTAACGAGTTCCTAGCCAGGTGGGTGGAATGAAACGCACCCCCTTCCCTCCCTAAGACATTTGACAGCCAAGCCCTGACCCGGGCTTAATAAAGCTGCTACCAACGTCCCCCATGAAGTGCACGGATTGACGCAACGAGCCGCCCATCAAACGGCAGGGCCCGCCTCGGCCTTATAGGTCGAGTCTAGCCAATGGGCGCGAGCGTTCTCAACTCATGGCGGAAGTGAGGCACGAAGCAGCATCACGGAGGGGCCCACCCCTGCCCCGTGCTGGTTTCTCGTTGCTAGGCGACGACGGCGGCGGCGAACGAGGCTGGCATAGGGCGCGCCGCGTAAGGGTTACGCTGAGCCTCGCGCAGGGTTGAGGGCACATCCAAGATGGCGGCGGCAGCGGGGCCACTGCGGGGTCTGGTGCGCTGCTCACAGCTGGTGGCGGCCGGGCGCTTCGGCGGACTTCCGCGGCGGCGGTTCCACGGCTCTGCGGCTGCCGCTGCTCAGGTACGGGCGCTCGTGAGGGAGCGGGGACCGAGGCGACCTTCGGGGCAAGGTTATAGCGGAGCAGTTGCTGCTGCAGCAAAGCAGGGGTCGCATCCCTTTCTGTAGCCGGACAGAATTATTATGATATATTTGTTTATACGTCGCCTTCCCGCCGCCCAACTCTCTGCTTTAGCGCTTGATTTGGAAGGTCCTCTTTCTCCCGGGGGCGCCTTGGCATCCCAGCCGTGAAGGGCAGAAAAAGGACACTCTGCACCTGCTCAGAGACACTGTTGCCCCTTTTACGACTGCACGTCCTCTTCTTCCCGCCCCGGTAAATACTATTGAAGTTACTGGCGAAAGCCTGAGCTCTGGCGTATCCTCACATCCTTCCTCTTTATTGCAGTCATTATAATTATAACTTAATATTTATACCCCGCCCCGCCCATCTGGCTGGGTTTCCCCAGCCACTCTGAGCTGAATATTAACTGAATATTAAAAACATGATAAAGCATCAAACATTAAAAACTTTCCTAAACAGGGCTGTCTTCGGATGTCTTTTAAAATCAGATTTATTTCCTTGACATCTGGTGGGAGGGTGTTCACAGGGCGGGCGCCACTACTGAGAAGGCCCTCTGCCTGGTTTATTATTGTTATTGTATTTATTTATAATGACGGCTTAGCATAAAATTAGAAACAGTTTACATTACATGTGGCTCAGGTGTGGGGATGAGGTTTTGAAGTAGAGAACTGAGTGAGCATCTTTGGGGCAGGTTTTGAAATAATACATGGGAAAAAGAAGAAAGAAATGGTGGTGGGAAAGGGGTATGTATGTGCTTGTATTCACAAATCTCTTTTTCTAGGAAGCTCTGTTGCTGTTTCCATATTGTATCCTTATCTGTTTATGAATTTAATGTGCACTCGTGTACAAATTCAGTCTTCCCCGATCTTGTAACCATGTTGGTGTAGTGTGCAAAAACGTTAACATGTCTCAAGGGGCAAAACAACCCATCAGTTAGCCTTCAGCTTAAATTTCCTGAAGCCGGTCATGCAGCTGTCACACAGCGAGCACCCAGATCCATGCTCAGATTAATCGATTGCTCAGAGTTCATTGACGGGTGAGCGCTCTTGAGAGGAGTCACTGCCAGCGAAAGTAGACAATACTGAGCAAGCACCAGCAGGCAGAATAGGCCTGCTGGCATCACTCTGGAGGCAAAGACCAGGCGATCCCTCGGGGGCTGGACAGAGAGACATTTCTGGACCATCCAACCAACATCCCATATGGTGCAACAGAGGTTTTCTTTACAAATTTCAGTTAAGCATTGCTACTGCTGACATAGCCATGGGCCATGAAATTTGTAAAGAAAACAAAGTTTTACAACAATCTTCCTTGATCTATAAGGGATGACTTTGATTTGATATTTAAATCGCTTACTGATCTCTTTTTGCTGACAGCTTAGCCAAAGGAAATCTACCTGGCTGTTTAGAATTGTCCTTTAGAATTGACTTAGTGTCAACAGGTATCTCATCTCCAGGAACTGCTGTCAGGATCTAGCCTGGAGCTCACAAATATGCTGTGTCTCTTGGGAACATCCTAGTCAGACAAAAGGGAGTTCCACAGAAAATATGAATGTGACCCTAACCCTAACCTTTCCCACTCCTTTCGTGAGATTGTAGGTTAGCCCGAGACATTCATTTACTTTCAGCCATGGAAGTTTCCAACCAACTTTCCTCCTTGATTATGGTGCGATTACTCTAAAGCAATTTTTTTTAAAAAATAATTCATATCCTACCTTTCTTCCAAAAAGCTCAAGGTTCCTAATAACAAAGAGAAATGGTTTGTGGATTGTGACCTAAATATGTCTTCTCATTAATAGGTGACTGTCCGTGATGCTTTAAACCAGGCTTTGGATGAGGAGTTAGAGAGGGATGAGAAGGTTTTCCTGCTGGGGGAGGAAGTTGCCCAGTATGATGGGGCATACAAGGTAAGAAGATGATGCAGTAATTAGAAGGGCAGCATAATCTGTCCATTTCTTAAAATGTTATAAATAGCAATACCACAACCCTCTTTTTTAAACCTACAGATTAGCAGAGGACTTTGGAAGAAATATGGTGATAAGAGGATAATAGATACTCCTATATCAGAGGTATGAACTCATAACACATTTTAATTTTTTTCTATTTTAGTATTTAATCCAAAAAAGTGCAATAAGTCATCTAGTTTTCATGAAATATATTTTCAGATAGTTATGATTTAAATTTTAGTTTTCGTCACACTTTGTTCTTCCTTCCCCCCCAGATGGGCTTTACTGGAATTGCTGTAGGAGCTGCCATGGTATGTACCTTCCATATGTGTATTTATAAAAGCATCTGAAATACAAAATAGTGCCATTAATTCACTGTTTAAAAAGCAACTTGGGAATGGCTGTTAACATGGCTACTTTGTCTTCACAGGCTGGCTTGAGACCTGTTTGTGAATTCATGACCTTCAACTTCTCCATGCAAGCTATTGATCAGATTATAAACTCAGCTGCCAAAACCTACTACATGTCTTCAGGTTTGGTACCTGTCCCTATTGTCTTCAGGGGCCCAAACGGAGCCTCGGCAGGTGTTGCAGCCCAGCATTCCCAGTGTTTTGCGTCCTGGTATGGGCACTGCCCTGGACTGAAAGTAGTCAGCCCCTGGAATTCGGAGGATGCAAAAGGTCTCCTTAAAGCTGCAATCCGGGATAACAATCCAGGTAAATGAAGCCAAGATATCTGTGCGGGTGTAATTCTAAAGTGTTAGCTTATTGGGTTATTTACCTGCATTAAACATTTAATGCAGGGCTTTGAGTGTCAGAAACAAATCTAATTTGTGGCGTCTGCATCATGTTGAGCGTCCGATATTTAGCTGGGGTAGTGTGCAGTCTTTCATTCCCTTTCTAAGAGGAGAAGAAAACAGTTTGGGTATCCTTTCAGATACTAGATTAAGGAAACATTTTTGCTTTTTGGATGATTTCCTTTTGCATTTGTTTTAAGACGCGGGTTGTTCTTAGCTATAAAGTTGTGTGTTTTGCCTTGGAAACCATTATGGCTACAGTGTTGTGTACAAAGGTAGCAAATGAACAAAATAATTCCTCCCTTTTAGAGGAATTGTTCTTCAATTAGTGTTCCTTCAAGTAAAGCTAGTGTTCAGCTTGAGCTGAAGTGTGAGCTGCAGATGTTGCACTTGGAAATAAATCTTCAGCTCTCTCCTCCCCCTTCCAAAAAAAATTATATTGTCATGACCAGGATCTAAAGAGTTGTGCAGCAAGTTCCATGGTAACTCTAGAAGTACCTTTCATAAACAGAAGTCTCCCATGGAGCATATCAAACTACTTTAGAAACTGTGGGGAGTTAAACTTAGATTGGGCTCATGTGTGCTGCTGATGTAAGCCTCATCAGTTCTTTGGATCTCAGCCAGTTTATCATTGTGCAGGCCAGAACATACCAAAATAGCGTACATTCACTTAAATGCTATGTTTTCAGTTTGGTCAGAATTACGATTTCATAGCAGTAGTGGAAGGAAGGGACTTTGTATGGGTACAACACCCTTAGAGGCGATTGTAGTAATAATAATAATAATAATAATAATAATAATAATATTTTTTATTTATACCCCGCCCTCCCCAGCCAAGGCCAGGCTCAGGGTGGCTAACAAGCAATAATAAAAACAAGTTGAATGAATACAACTTAAAGACAAAATTAAAAAACAACATTAAAATATTGAAACATTAAAATATTAAAATGTAGCTACATTGCAGGAGGAGAAAGGAAAAGAAAAAAGAAAGGGGGTGGAATCAAATTGGCTCCAAGCCAAAGGCCAGGCGGAACAACTCTGTCTTACAGGCCCTGCGGAAAGAAATCAGATCCTGCAGGGCCCTGGTCTCATGAGGCAGAGCGTTCCACCAGGCCGGAGCCAGTGTTGAAAAGGCCCTGGCTCTGGTTGAAGCTAATCTAACTTCCTTAGGGCCCAGGATCACTAGGGTGTTACTATTTATGGACCTTGAGGCTCTCCGTGGGGCATACCAGGAGAGGTGGTCCCGTAGGTACGAGGGTCCTAGGCCGTGAAGGGCTTTAAAGGTCAAAACCAGCACCTTAAATCTGACCCTGTACTCCACCGGGAGCCAGTGCAGCTGGAAAGCACTGGGTAAATATGCTCCCATGGCAGAGACCCCGTGAGGAGCCTCGCTGCAGCATTCTGCACCCGCTGGCGTTTTTGGGAAAGCGTAGCTGCTCCCTCAACGTTTTTGAAGCATTCTACTTTATCCCAAAGGGTTAAAAACAAATAAAAATGGATGAGCTCAAAGTACTGAGAACTACAGAGTTTTATATCCTTTGCTCATATGGCCAGCTTCAATTTGGAAGAAAGCTTTGATTGGCTGGTTGTTTTTTTGAAAGCCCTATTTGAACTAGATGAGCTACTTCCTCCTCTGAAAGAAAAGTCAGAGCCCAGTTCTTTCTTTCTCTCCTAAATTTGTGGCTGTTCATGCTATCAATTCATGCTTTTATCAGCTGATATGGGTCAGATGACTGCATAAAGTTGGTACAGTATTGGAGAGTGAGCTGGGTCATTTCTCCATGCACACATCCTTAACTTCCACTTGAATATTTCAAATTGGTGCCTGCTGCATAATGGATGATGTCAAAATACTTGCATATCTCAGGCATCCTCAGGACTTTGGATCCTGTGTGCCTCGCCACAGGCCACATTTCTGGCATCAGCACAGCCTGCTTAAGCCAGGACAAGTTGACCCTTGGCATGTTGTAACTGCTGGATCAAGACCCAATCCCTTCTCCATAGTACCAAACTTGGAATGTGGGGGCGTTCTCTTCTGACATGTCCTAGGAGTCTTTGACCACAAAACTAATTCTTGTGGCTCACCAGAGATTTGGAGGAATGCATCCTATAGTTCACATGTACCTGTTTTTTTAAATTGCCTTTCTAGTTGTAATGTTGGAAAACGAGTTGATGTACGGTGTGCCCTTTGAATTGTCGGAGGAAGTCCTATCAAAAGACTTTGTTGTTCCTATCGGGAAGGCGAAGGTAGAAAAGCAAGGTAAGCAAAACTAGCTGTTTTTACTGAACAAGGCAAGACCCTTGTTCTTTTACTGTGTCTATCAGAGAAACACTGTGCTTTCTTCTTAAAATGCATTTATTTTGCTTGCAGCACAACCCTTTTATGTGCAAAGCTACCCAGTGTTCTTTCATCCCAGATGCATATCCATTAATTCCCCATATATATATGTATATACACACATGAATGAAATTACCAGTTCTTCTCTGTGAAAGTGTGTGTTTCTCTATACATTGGGATTCAGTGAGAATGCCTTATTTTCTTACTACCCAAAAGACCATCCAGAAGTTGAGTTGGCTTTAGAAGAGATTATGCCTTTTTTTGAGGGGACGGTGGTGAAGCTCTGTAGGATGATCAGTCACTTCATGTTGTAAGCCCAACCCTCTTTGCCCAGCAGCTTTCTCTGGATTTGTGAGGCATATGCAAATTCCATGGTCTGGAGATTTGTTTGCCACAGGTGGCCTGTCAGTGTCTGAATTCCTTCTGTCTTTCATTGCCTTTCTCCCCGCTCCTTTTATTTTAGAAGATTCAAAAATCACAGAATGGCAAATTATTTCTTTTGCCTAGTAAACTAGCTTTTTTGAATTCTACTTTTCCTTGCTCTCAATAAGAACATGAGTGCTTGGATATCTCAAGTATAACAGTAATAAAGAGCACTGTGTTCTGACCTTACTTGGCACTAATATGAATGAGGGTGTTTTCAGTGGAGACTCCACTATTGTGGAACACAATTCTATGGGGCATCAGGCGGGGTATCTGTCCTTGTAGGACACAACTCTTTACTGCAGCCTTTACTAATTCATGGGATAAGTTGCATAATTACTGTTTTGACCTGGTTTGGATAATTTTTTATATCTTGCTGGAATAAGGTTTTTAACGTGCATTATTGCATGCTGATAAATGGCTGTAATCATTTACCATTCTATAAAGGATCATAAGCTGTTTAAGAGGTTAAAAGAAGTTGACCGGGTGGTGACTGCTAGATAATCTTCTGTTCTTAAGAATATGTCTGCATGCTAAAGTTAACGATGTTGTAATTCTCAATCCTCACCAGCCTGTGTGTTTCAGGAACCCACATTACCATAGTGTCTCATTCACGACCCGTCGGCCACTGTCTGGAAGCAGCTGCTGTCCTTGCTAAAGATGGGGTGGACTGTGAGGTATGTGTGTTTGTGTTGTCGTTCCATGAGAATCCACATTGAAGAAACCCTCTTAAGCTTCTACTCCACAGCTAACAAAGTTGTGGCATCGCAGTGTTCTGTAAGCTACTTAATACAGATAGGGTCCACTGTTTTCTTGGCAGTTCTGTTCAGAGAGCTGGGGCAAGTTAACTACAGGCAGCAGAAGAGAGCAATTCCTTGAATTTCAATTCATCTTGCATGAGTTGGAGAAGGGTTGTGTCAAATCCAAACCTTGCACTGAGAAGCTGAACTATCTGATATGTATAAATTATACCAATTCACTATATGAAGCTGCCTTATCCCAAGTCAGTTGTCTGCTATGACCTCCACCAGCTATCTAAGAACTCAGGTCTATTCTTGGCCCTGCAGACCAAAATCTAGATCAAGGGAAGTAATAGTGCCACTGTATTCTGCTCTGGTCAGACCTCACCTGGAGTACTGTGTCCAGTTCTGGGCACCACAGTTCAAGAAGGACACTGACAAACTGGAACGTGTCCAGAGGAGGGCAACCAAAATGGTCAAAGGCCTGGAAACGATGCCTTATGAGGAACGGCTAAGGGAGCTGGGCATGTTTAGCCTGGAGAAGAGGAGGTTAAGGGGTGATATGATAGCCATGTTCAAATATATAAAAGGATGTCACATAGAGGAGGGAGAAAGGTTGTTTTCTGCTGCTCCAGAGAAGCGGACACGGAGCAATGGATCCAAACTACAAGAAAGAAGATTCCACCTAAACATTAGGAAGAACTTCCTGACAGTAAGAGCTGTTTGACAGTGGAATTTGCTGCCAAGGAGTGTGGTGGAGTCTCCTTCTTTGGAGGTCTTTAAGCAGAGGCTTGACAACCATATGTCAGGAGTGCTCTGATGGTGTTTCCTGCTTGGCAGGGGGTTGGACTCGATGGCCCTTGTGGTCTCTTCCAACTCTATGATTCTATCTTTTTTTCCCTTCCTAACAAGAGGTCACAGGGGCTTGAAGCTGGCACAGTGCCACTGAGCTAAAACTTTCAATTTGGGGCACAGTTTTAATCAGGTAATACATCTTTTTAAAAGTTATTTTTCCACATACGTCCTTATTAAAAACTGCAGATCACAGGTGCTGTTTTAAGGGGGATGAGGGTCCCCTATGTGCAAATATTTACAGACTTAATCAACCAGTTGACTTACATGGTGTCCAAGATTTGAGAATACCAGTTGATAGGAATGGCAAATAGGAAGAAGACTGTTGCATTCATGTCCCAATTGGCTACTGTGAGAACAGGGTGCTGGACTAGACGGGGCTTTGGCTTGATCCATCAGGGCTTTTGTTATTAGACAGGTGATGGCTCAGTTTTTATGCTTGTTTATTTTTCATAACTTGTTTTCTGCTCAGACGAGGCTGAAGTTAATCAGAAATGATCTCAAGCCTGCTCTAATCTCTCTCCAGGTGATAAACCTCCGCACCATTAGGCCAATGGATATCGAAGCTATTGAATCCAGTGTCATGAAGACAAATAATCTTGTAACAGTGGAAGGTGGCTGGCCCCAGTTTGGGGTAGGAGCTGAAATTTGTGCCAGGATTATGGAAGGTATTTGGGATTATCTCGTGTCTGACCTTAAGATACGTTGCTATTGTCTTGAGAAGCTAGAAATTAGATCAGACGTGGGGAACCTCTAGTCTTCCATGTGGGGCTGGACTGCATCACCCATTATCCGTGACCACTCTTCATGCTGACGGAGGCTGGTGGCAAGTTTGAGGGCCACAGGCTCCCTGTCCCAAGTTTAGGTCCTTGAATTGAATTTGCTCAGATTTTTTGCCCAAAGTACAATTATTTAATCTGCTGCAATGCAGGACCATCCCATTTGTAGTAGCAGCCGTCTCTCCCACTTAAAAGGAAAATGTATTCTTAGAGCAGCGGGTCATCCAAGAGCCCACGGCTTTATAAAACCCTACTGTACAAACCCAATGGAGTTTATTGCATTATAGATTGCAGGTAGGCTATTCCACAAACCGCATGGAATAAGCATCTTCTGTTCTTCTCCCTACAACGTTCCCTACAGCTACACTGGAGAACCAGTGTGGTGTAGTGGTTAAGAGCAATAGACTCGTAATCTGGGGAACCGGGTTCGCGTCTCCGCTCCTCCACATGCAGCTGCTGGGTGACCTTGGGCCAGTCACACTTCTTTGAAGTCTCTCAGCCCCACTCACCTCACAGAGTGTTTGTTGTGGGGGAGGAAGGGAAAGGAGAATGTTAGCCGCTTTGAGACTCCTTAAAGGGAGTGAAAGGCGGGATATCAAATCCAAACTCCTCTTCTTTCAATGTGCCACCTTGCACTGCTTGGAGGAAAAACGGGCTATAAATGAAACAAACCTACATGATCTTTGAGCTTGCTGCTCCCTTTACTTGCTTGCTGAAAAGCAAGAATAGGTACTTTTTCTTAGGCAGGGACTAGAGTAGGTATTTTGGGGTTCACTGTCTCCTCATAGCCCTTTTTCTAAGCTAGAGGCAGTGATCGGTGTGGGCTGTAACCTGTCTCACCCCAGCCACTGACTATGCTGCCCGCCCACATCATCTTAGTTTGTACTGACTGAGATTTCTTCAGCTTTTGAGAAATGAACTTTTCTGCTTTCAGGTCCTGCTTTCAACCACCTTGACGCACCCGTTGTGCGTGTCACCGGGGCTGACGTTCCCATGCCTTATGCAAAGATCTTGGAGGAGAACTGCATACCTCAAGTAAAAGACATAATTCTTGCAGTGAAGAAAACGCTAAATATCTAGTTCTGTGTATATGCTGTATGTGGATGTTGTTCTTCTGGAGTAAAAAAAAAAAAAAGTTTGTGGAATGTATATTGCAAGCGATTGTATACATAGCTGGCCTTGTATAGGATATAGGCCTTTGGCAGGGGAAGAGCAATAACTAGGTTGTCTGTTGCAAGGCATGTACTCCCTCCCCAAGGGAGATGCAGATGGCCTAAAATTGTAATAATTGTAATTCTCTAAAGAACTCTCGTTGCAAGATGAAGTGTTCTGTTTATCATTGTACACGGTGATCAGGCTTGCTCTGATTAGGAGCTCTAATATCTGAGGAACAGTCTCTTGCTGCTCCTGCTCGTTTTGTAACTTACAAGGCTTGGAAATAAAAGTACATTAACAAAAAAGGGAGAGGAAAGTATCTTTCTGATGTGAAATAGTCCAAAATGGAAGCAGCCTGTGAGGAAACATTTGATACAGGCTGAATTGTCTTCTTTCAGAAATTAGTGCATATTAATGTAAGGCTGAAGGTGCTGCAAAGTATCTTTGCCAAAACCACATAGATAAATGGATTTTTAAAGCTTCAAGACATTCACATTTTTCACCACAGACGTGGTAATTAACATTAAAGTGTGTTCCCCTCCCAGCATTATTGAAATTCCATTAACATTTATTTTAATAAAAATATGACTGAATAATATAATAGGTTACATGAAATCTTATACACAATGACACTCTGCATAGTAACAAACACTGGTGTATACTCGACTTTAAAAATCTAGCGATAATCCTTTAAAGTGCAATTTAAGAGTTTGAGCAAATCAAGAAGGGCATCTTTTCACTAACATTAAATTATGGAGCTCTTTTGTTAACACCCACTTCAACAACACATCTCACATTGCTGTAAATTTTGGTTTGATGGAAACGCCCTGCAACTCCCAATTTAAGCGTAACACAAGCTCATTACAAAACTTACTTGCTTGAATTACTCCTCTTTTAAGCAGAGCCATCTTAGGTTAACAGGCCTTTCAATAGTATTAAGAGTAATGCTCAGGACTTTACAGAGCAGAGAAGAAAGGGAGACCAAGCCTAAAATCTCTCACCAGTGTTAACTTTCAGACTGAGTGAACGTTTAGCATAATTAAAGCTAATTCAATGCATCAAATCTTGATGTACCGGGTTTTAAACTTTCAGAAGCAGGTCTCAGAAAATGAACTGCTGTTGTCGAGCTATTTTTATTCTATTAGAAGGAATACAACATAGCCAAAAACAAGATTCCCCCCCCCAAAAAAGAAGGAGGGTTCCTTTAAACCAGAATCGACACTTCACCCTCCGAAACGGCAAAGCAATTTGACACGGTACTGCTACTCAGTTAAGAGATTGTGCTAAGGGGGGGGGGGGAGGGAGCAGGGAGGAGCTTGAAATGGCTCTAAACAAGCAGCTGTAAAACAAGACGCCACCAGGCAGTGGCTATATCAAATAGTTATTTAAGATTTGTTCCTAGAACACAAGGAATACCCCAAAGCTGGGTCAGTATGAACAGTTTCAGCTGATTCTAGGAGCACTGTAGTCACAGGTTTCTGTTTTCTTCAGACCTCCCTTCTGGAAATTCTGAATTGAGCTGAGTAAGGCGCCCCGGCTTGTGCTGTTTACAGGCCGCAGATCAGGCTGCATTGCCACATCCAAATTAGGAGGAGGAGGGGGAGCTGCTGGCGGCGGCGGCGGCGAAGGAATTGTCGAGGCGACTGCTGCTGGGAAGATATTAGACGTAACACACAGTCAGAAACCGAAACCCATGAATGCAAGATACTGCTGGATAAAATAACACATCTGCGAAAACTGCCCAATGTACAAAAGAAAAGAGTACGGTAGGAAAGCATGCAAAAAAAAAAAAAAAAAGCCAAGATGATTTCAGGTTAAAAAATAATAACTTGAAAATGGACAAGAATACAGGCATACAGGAGAAGGATGAGAATAGATTAAAAGTGCAGGCAGGACAAGTAAGTCACACTAAGATGTTTTATGGTCCTTGCAATGCATGGTCATGTGGACAAGCAAACTGGAGGAGGAAATAATTATCATTCCAGGGCCGGGCTGTAGACCAGTGATATGTCCCGTAGCTTGTGGGATGCAGCCAAACAGCATTGGCTCAGCTTGTACAAAGGAAGACATTGGCCTTCCAAACATTATTTCTAGGCGCCAAGTAGAGAAGCATTGCAAGGAACATCTGCCTCAAACTGACCACCACCTAACTCAGTAACACGCTCCATCTTTGAATTTACATGAATGCTGAGTGAAAGCTGGTGCCCGCTTCTCATGCGCAGCTAAGGCAAGGACCACAGTTGTAAGTCTTGCTTAGATAGGCACAGGGTCCTTTTGTGCGTTGCACACAATGGCATTTTGGTTCACGGCCCAAAACAGGAACAGGCATTTCTCCCTACGTTATACATTATCCCTGACAAGCACAGCAGTAACAACTTCAGGATTAGCTCTTCCAGGATACGAACAGAGTGCCGTAACAGAGCTAAGAGGCTGCCATAGCTATAATGCTCTCTTTGGAAAATGGGGTAGAAGTAACTGCAGCTGATAGCCAGAAGGCTAATTTCTTTTTTGGTTTTAATCTACACCGACGATACACCCACCCACCTCTGAAAATATACCTTGGGTCTAGGCACCAGGCCAGCATATCTAGAAATGCAGAACAGCACTCTGGAAAGAGCACAATTAAAAACAACAAAATGTAGTTTTTTAATAGGTGCCTGCACTGGTACCTACTCAGGACTTGACTGTTATCACTGGCTTGAAAGACAAAAGTCACTGTATCCCCTTAGTAGCTTGGTACTATGGAGAAAACCCACATAGCAGGGGTGAGGACCCTGTGGCCCTCCAGATGTGGTTGGACTACAGTTATCCCTGAGCATTGGCCACGCTGGCTGGGCCGATAGGGAGTTGGGAGCCCAACTTCTGGAAGGCCACGGGTTTCCCACCACTGCCATATAAAGGTTGAATTGCAAAAGAGTTCACATGGGGCTGCTCTCCAGCATTTCTGCCCCAATCCACTGCTGAAGTCAAAGAGAAGAACGCACGTGGAAGACTCCTGAGTTTGCTTGATACTAAGCGGTTTCAGGAATTCCTACAGGAGGTAGACCAGGTCCTCCTCCTAGCAATCACACATTTGTTGGATTGCTCTTATCTTCTCCATGTATGTAATAAAATGATTTATCAAATACAGTCATACCTCGGGTTACAGACGCTTCAGGTTGCATTTTTTCGGGTTACGGACCGCCGAAACCCGGAAGTACTGGAATGAGTTACTTCTGGGTTTCGGTGGTCGCGCATGCGCAGAAGCACCAAATTGCAACCCGCGTGTGTGCAGACATGGGTTGCGAACATGCATCCCACACGGATCACGTTCGCAACCCGAGCGTCCACTGTATTATGATTGTCAGAATAAAAGATGTTTGAAAAGCCAGATTTTTTATGGATATGGGAAACTAAAGGTAACCAAACTAAAGGTAAAGGGACCCCTGACCATTAGGTCCAGTTGTGACTGACTCTGGGGTTGCGGCGCTCATCTCGCTTTATTGGCCGAGGGAGCTGGTGTACAGCTTCCGGATCATGTGGCCAGCATGACTAAGCCGCTTCTGGCGAACCAGAGTAGCGCACGGAAACGCCATTTACCTTCCCACCGGAGCGGTACCTACTTATCTACTTACACTTTGACGTGCTTTCGAACTGCTAGGTTGACAGGAGCAGGGACCGAGCAACAGGAGCTCACCCCATCGCGGGGATTCGAACCGCCGACCTTCTGATCGGCAAGTCCTAGGCTCTGTGGTTTAACCCACAGCGCCACCCGCGTCCCGGACCAAACTAGACTACAGGTAAAGAGAACATCCTGGCAGCTAAAGTCCTTTCCCACAGAGCAGGTAACCCCTAGGCAAGTGCAGAGGGCGACAGTGAAAAGGCTTTAGCAGGTTAGAGGTAGCCTGCAAGCCAAGATCAACTTTCCACACCCAACGCAGCTGCTGGCAACGTTGTACAACACCCTGTGTACATTTGGACCACAACAGCACCCAAACCCAAATCCTGCCTAAAATGTTGGCAGAGCTGCTGCTTATGACAGCAGGCATGGAGAAGCAGCACTGTACTAAGGTCCTCCCAGGTGCAATCGCTTTTTCATCGTCCTGCTCCTTTTAGGAGACAAAAGCCAGCCTGACAGTCCCTATCTCACAGCACATCAGCTTAAAACCAGAGAAGCCACATGTAGGCACCATCTTTGACATGCTAATAGCAGCGAGGGATGTGGTTTCAAATTCTTCATAGAGAAATCCCTTTGAAACACTTTCTCCAGCAACAATATTTCTAAATGCTTTGATTCAGTTGATAATCAGTTTAATGCTTTGGGGGGTGGGTGGGAGGGAACGAGCTCAGAGAGAACCGAAGAAGGCTGCAGGAAAGAAAATGTACAGTATGGCGAAAAATGCATGATGGGGTGACAAAGGAAGAACATGGGGAGAAACAGCAGCATGCTACCAGCTGAGCACGATCAAGCGGCAAATACATATTGAGTTTATTTAAAACAAAAAACAGCATCCTAAACAAGCACATACAGGTTTGTCTTTCAACCATCCCTGAGACATCTAAACACAGTAGGTTGCGAAGACGAGTAACATTCAACCAACCAAGTGAAAGGAGGTGGTATAAAAAGCTAGATACATATAGGTAAAAATGCACCGACCGTAAGAACCAACTGAGAACGCAAAATTAGTTGCAGGATGCTAGGAACAAAAGATCGAAAGCAAAAGGATGCCAAGGCGCATTGCTTGCAATTACAGTGACAGATGAAAATGCCAACAGTCCAATGAAAGGCAGCTTTCTACACTTAGGAATTCACAAAGTCCCACCCTCAGTTACTAGAAATAGTACTTGGACTTTTACACTGGGTACTTATGTTGCTTCACTGAACATAATTTTGAGAAAAAAAATCCAGTTAGAGACTCTCTGACCTCGATTTGTCTTTTCAGATAGCAAATAGGGGATGGAGCGGGGTGATCCAAACATTCTTCTTCCAGCTTGCGTGTCTGTTAGAATTAAATACTCCTAATTCTCCTTGTTGACTTTACTCCCGACTTCTGTTTCACTAGGGAATTCTGAGTGGAGTCTTGCTGCACCAGTGTCAAAAGTGCCCATAATACCCATTTAAGAAGGTGCAAAGACCACTCCCTCCCCACTCTCTCTTAAAAGCATATACACCCAACTTCTATAGCAGAAATGATTTCCTCCATGTGGAGGAATTACATTACTCAGGCAATACAAACCATCACTCATAAAAATCTCCACTTGAATTCCTAGAATTTCCTCCTTTGTTCTTTTACACACTACTCATATGAGCAGACTACCGTATTTTTCGCTCTACAGGGTGCACTTTTTCCCCTTCAAAAATGAAGGGGAAATGTGTGTGCGTCCTATGGAGCGAAGAAGCCATAGCCCCGCGACCCTCTCCTGGCTGGGGAGGTGACGCGCGGCTATGGCAGGAGCCTCTTTAGCCGCGCGCCACCACTCCAGCCGGGAGAGCGCGCGTGGGGCTTAAGAAGCCATAGCCACACGACCCTCTCCCAGCTGAAGAGGTGACGCGTGGCTATGGCAGCAGCCTCTCCGCTGTGCGCCTTTCCGCTGCTCCCTGACCTGCTCTTTGGGGCTGGTGGTGGGCTTCCCCCCGCCAGCCCCAAAGAGCAGGTCGAAAGGAGCTTGAAGCCTGGAGAGCAAGAGGGGTCAGTGTGCACCGATCCCTCTCCAGGCTTCCAAGGTAGCCGCCTGAAGGCGACTGAACGCACCTTAAACGGCACCTTGTTTTAGAGGGGGAAAACAAGAGGGGGGAAATTCTCCCCCTCTCTGCGCAGCGCCTCCTGCCGCTTCGCTGAAGGGGCGCTGGGCAGAGAGGGGGAGAAATTTTTTTTCTTGTTCTCCCCCCTCTAAAACAAGGTGCGTCCTATTGTCCGGCGCGTCCTATAGTGCGAAAAATACGGTAATTGCTCAATCTGTTAAATCTGCCCATATTGCCACTTGCTGTCCCTCCTTTTTTTAATTAAGCAGTATTTCACTTGGAAGAGTATGTTGATTGGCAAAAGCAAAGGAATCGTAATACTGGCTAGGAGGTCTGGTACGTTCAGCAGAATTTCTGTTCCACTAAACTCCCTCAAATCAAGCATTTGCCCAAACCCACCGCTATGATTTTACAAACAACTATTTGATGAAACAGCAATCTTCAGCCAATTCAACCCACATCTATTAACTAAAGCAGGCATCCCCAAACTCGGCCCTCCAGACATTTTGGGACTACAACTCCTATCATCCTTAGCTAACAGGTCAGGGATGATGGGAATTGTAGTCCCAAAACATCTGGAGGGCCAAGTTTGGGGGTGCCTGAACTAAAGCATTAACTGCTTATTAAAATTTGCCCTGTTATAAATATAGGACTAAAATGGAAGGGCAAACTAGCCACACTCCATAGCATCAAAGATGATAAACCTAATGATGTTCTTTATCTTTCTAGTTTGCATCCAATAATTTGCAGATTCCCTCCCCCCATTCCAGCATGAAAGATTACCGCATTTACGCGAATCTAATGTGCCATCAAATCTAACCCGCACCTCAATTTTCAAAACCTTGAAACTAATAAAGTATTTGCTGGTGAATGTAAATGCAGCATTAAATCTAATGCACACCCTAATTTCCGTGACATAACTTGGCCAAAAAAAGATGTGCATGACATTCGAGTAAATACGTTAATTACAGCCAACTGAAGCCAACAGCACCTAGCTAAAAAGCCAAGGCTACTGTGTCTTTTTCCATCTATACCATCAATAAAGCCACCTCGGTTCA